CCCTACTGCCATTTCCTTAAAGACTAATTATCATTATTTCCCAACAACCGTTTTAAGCAGGGACTTGACGACTGGGCAATGGAGTACCCAAAAAATTAAGTACCCAAAAAATTGAGAAAACAGAACCTAATTATTAAATATATATATATATAAAAAAATAAACATATGTACAAGCGTTAATAGGTAAAAGACTCTATAGATAAAATTTTGTCATCATCTACACAACAGTATAATTTCTATCATTCCCTACTTATATGCTAGATATGAGGTAACATCTTTTTCAAGTAGCCGCCTTTCTTCAGCATAAATAGCATTCCCCGAAGATGTTTCATAGAAGCCGTACTAAACTCTCCGTTTCCATGATTGACTCCTGCATGCTTTCTCTTTACACCACCATTAGCTCTTTTTATTAGACGATTTGTGAGTGCTTTGTGTGACTTCATTTTGTTCCTTACTTGTGAGATATTGGTTTTGCATTGTTGAAATAGTACTGGTCGCGATGAAAACGCAAAGGACTGCAAAAAGTTGAACATTCTTTGAACAGTACAGATATGAAGAGAAAGTATTGTAGTTTGGAAGACCATAGTAAAGATTTAATTTTTCAATTTTTTCCTTTTTGTCGTTGGTTGAATCGCACGACTCTTGAAATATTTCTATACTTGATTAGTGGAGATTGCTAATATGAGGGGGGAGGGGAACAAAGAGCAATGGGTTAGTGCAAAACAAGAGCAATAGACAAGTGAAGCAATAATTGTTATCAGTACTGAGTTATGCCCTTCATTTTCCTTCTCTTTCTTCTGTGTGTCATTTGCCTTTGAGCTCTTCAGAAATGATTGTCTCCAAGACTCGACCATCTTTCTTTGGAAACTTTTGTAAAGTGATGTTATTATTCAAAAGGTCATGCAAAATTGTGCTAAAGGCCTCACTAAGCAAGTCTCTGTAACGAAACCGAAGACAGTAATTACTATTGACAAATTCCCTTGCAATTTCTTCTTGATGGTTATCCATCAAACTTTCATTCACAACAACTATCAATTTTTTGTTTCTATATAGCGAATCAATTATAGATCCAGTTCCTGCATGTGAAATTATCACATCTGCTTGGTCAATGTAATCATTAATATTTGGAGAAAATGGGAAACAAACTAATTCGAAGCCGTTCCGCGAAAAGCTGCTCACCATACCATTTGTACCTTCTTCTAGCTCAGAATTGAGCATGGAGACAAGACCGTTTTCCAAAATCGTTTTTTGGAACAACTGCTGGCTTATGTGCGTGTTGTTTCGTATTTCATTGCCATATTGTACAACCAATTTCGTGACACCCAGTTTAATCAAAAGATTAACAAAGTCCGGTTTCAAGACTTGTTTTACCAATGCCTCAAATGTGATTGTAGCACCAGTGCAAACCAAAAGTGTTGCCATTTGAGTATATATACCTGGATTATTGGCGTTGCTCGAAAGTTTAAACGATCGTTTGTGTTGGAAAAACATTATTTTGTGTTGTGTGCATATATATGCGATGGGTGAAAAATTTATATCAATGAGATATTCCCCCTCCCATCTTGGTGTTTCTTATCTTTTCTATTGAAGAAAAAACCTATGATGAAGATATTTTTGTTAGTCATACCAATTGTTTGGTATGTTTTTAACCATCTATTCTATACATGGTTGCCAACAAACTATATATTTGACAAGGCAGTACTTCAAACCTTAGTCCAAGAAGTTTTACAGAACCATCCCGAGGGTAATGCGACCGCTATTATGATTGACCTCACGCCTAAACTTCAGGAGGCATATCCCGGTTTGATTAATGATTTGAATTTCGACCATTGGTTTTACAATAACGCTGGTGGTGCGATGGGCCAAATGACTATTTTGCATGCGTCTATATCTGAATATTTGATATTTTTCGGCACAGCAGTTGGAACAGAAGGTCATACGGGTGTTCATTTCGCTGACGATTACTTTACAATTTTAACTGGAGAGCAAAGAGCCGCGTATCCTGGTAAATTGGAGCCTGAAGTTTACAAGCCAGGCGATCAACACCACTTGCCAAAGGGACATGTCAAGCAGTACATGATGCCTGGAGAATCTTTCGCTTTAGAGTTGGCTCAAGGGTGGGTTCCAGCTATGTTACCATTTGGCTTTTTGGATACCTTAAGTTCGACATTGGACTTCCATACATTTTACTTGACTTCGTATTACACAGCAAAGGACATGATTAGAAATTTATTAAATGGTAAGTTTTAGGTTACAAGAAAAAGAAGGGAGAGGGGAAAAAGAAAAGGGATATTTTTGCATAAATATGCTTGCAAACGTCTCTCTTTTAATATACATACTATACAAGTAACTGTCATAATCTATAATAATTTTTCTTTATATTTTTCAAGATGTAATTTGTAATAACATTAATTGTACATTTTTTAATGAATCGAAAAAAAAAAGAGTAATGAATACCTGTCAACGTATGGTGATGAAATCTAGGAGTCCTTTTACATTCTGTGTCCTCCTAATTGTAGTAAGGATTTGGCGACACTTCTACTATTAGGAGTTCCAAGATGGTTGGTGATGGGAGAAGAATCTAGGACAGATTTTTTATACCCGTCGCTTTCGTTTTCTTGTTCATCTTCATCATCCTTTATACCATCGTCTTTGTTCCTAATTGTAGTGTTTTCATCTATTTGATCAATGGTAGAATTTTGACATGTTGTATTTTGCAATAAGGTCATGTCGTTGTCTTCGTCTATCGTCGTTTCATCAGCAAGGGTGGGGGTTCGTGATGCAATTACTGTGGGCGCGGCATTATTAAACGACTGTTGAAATCTAAAAGATCTCGACATATTTGCACGTTTCAAAGGTGTTTTCAAAATTTTATTGATGGAGGGTAAATTGGGAGTTTGGTTTGCAAAAGAGGATTCTGCCAGGCGTGAACGCAAGTTTAGAGAAGGTAAAATATTGGGAAAAGCTGTAGAAATGCCCTCTTTCTTCTTATGTGTATCATCTGTCACTGTGGGTTGGCAAAACAAGAGTAGATTGGACGTTGAATCAATTGCTGGCGCAGCTTGCTGTTGTTCTTGTTGTTGTTGTTTTTCATTAGTCAAAGGCAATCTTCGTTGTGAACCTGAATAATAGACACTTGTCTTCTTTATTTGGAATAACCTTAATTTTTGATATTTTTTCCCGGTTTTGTTTGAGGCCACTTTTGATAATGAAGCACTAGAAAACGCTGCTTTATTTTTTGTTTGCAAATTGACATTGATTGAATTGGTGTAGAAATTGTGGCGGGCCGGTACTTGTTCTGGTGGTGTGGGCAAAAAGGCAAAAGCAGAAGCTCTCAATGGTAAGTCATTATGTGGCGATACAATGGGAGTTTGTTGTTTCTGGTTCCTAGAAAAATACAAGTTTGAAGTTGGCTTTGAAACTTTCATTTTGTTGGTGTTTACTTTGCTTATTTCGCCCTTTATTTTATTTTGCTTAACCTTATGAAGGGCAAATTGCAATTTCAATTTCAATTTGGTTGCAGCTAAGCCAGCTACATCGTTTTTGAATGTTGAAAGTGAGGATTTCAAATGCAAAGTTGATGAGTTTTCCGGTGAAGAGACTGGAGTATGATGATGGCTGGCAAAACTTTTGGATTTCAACGTGGAGGAAATACTTTTATCATAATATGTACCAGATTTTTCAATCGAAAAAGATCTCGATATGAGGTCAGGAACTCCTGTCTTTCTGTATTTACGTGGTGTGAGTGATATTAGACGACTAGAATTATCTGCAGATTGGTAATGTAGCTTTGATTTCCTATCAACTAGTGGTGTTGAAGAGTTTAATTGAGTATCTCTGATTGTTGAGAAAGCTACTCTATTTGTCGCGACTGACATTGAGTTCTGGCGTTTGGCGTTTGTTTTTTCGGGAGGTACTCTCTTTTCTTTCTTTCTCAATTGGTGGAAGCCGGGGTTCTGATGCTAGCCTCCAATTGTTCAATTACCTTGTTCTTATTGTAGAAGAAGTAGCTGCTTTAAAAGTAAGATGTTGTGTTGTTGAAGGTTTTAAAGAAGTTGAAAAGCTATATGACATAGCTTATGAATTGAAAAAAATGGAAAAAAAAAAAAGAAAGAAAAACAAAAACAAAAAAACATACACTTTCCCAATTCAATCAATCCAAGTGTAGTTTTTTTTTTGGCCGCGTAAAGTAAATTAAGGTATAGCAGAATTACAGTAGAGTAAAGTAGGCGTACTGCAAAGTAGGAGAGGGTGTATTGTTACTCAATCTATCATAATTAATGTGATCTTTATTTTGTGTTAATGGAAAATTAATTTGTTCCACTGTTCATGTTTACTCAATTTGGAATCTATCAAAACAAAATACGAAAACATAAAAAAAAAAGTTGAATCGCACTCCAAAACGAGTCATCTACCAATATTTCACGTCTTTGTTTTAGATAGAGATTGACGAGTGAGTTGATGCCATAACAGGTAGCGATTATACGAGGAACCGAAAAAAAATGGAATGAAGAGGTTAGATTAAGGGGTGAGGGGAGGCTTTACAAATAATGAGAATACATTTTGTTGGTGCTACAAATAAACTCGCCAAAACAAAAAAAAAAAAGAAAAAAAAAATGCCGAACCAAACCAAATCTGCTTCGTGTGTACATAAGAGCTCAAGCCTAAGATTTATACAGTTGGGACCGTTATTTCCAGGTTTGGCTTTTTTTTCCTGGAGGGGCCTTTTCCTCAACAGTAGCAGACGTACCGCGTATAAGATTTTTGGTTTGCACTATAAAGGTGGACGCGTTTTTTTTTGGAAACTTGTGACACAAAGAGAAACCAAAAAATGGATGAAAAAAGATGATGCTCTTTATTCGACCCTTGAAATGTTGGTTTAATCGAATATAATTCAGGCTTACATTAGTAGCTCGCCAAGCGAAATTAGAACTTGCAAATACAAAGTACTATGGAAAAGAAAGGAAAGTGGTTTTGGAAGTGGAAGACGGGGACCATTCAAGGAGACTTGGCAAAAATTGATGGTAGAGTTGGTGACTTTGTCCAATTATCTGTCCCTGTCTTTCCTTCATCTGAACCAGTTATACTTGCTTACATCACTCTCTCTTCTTTTGATATTCGATATCTCTATTTACGTTTTTATCAAAAACTGACTCGAGATGAAAACACCGGGGAAAATATGAATGAAAACAAAAAATTATTTTTCACGTATATTTATTTAAGATTGAGGTTTCTTTTTATTATTATTTTTCTTTTTTTTATTATTTTTATTCATCTCTTTATGTCTTCGCTCGTTAGTGTTTACATTTTCGTCTCTTCTGTTGCGGGTAAAATACTGACTAATGCTTTGCATTTCGGTTTGCAGTATCTACTCAATGTGATCAAAGTGATTTCAAGAAGCAAGTGATGTAATTTCCAATTTTTATTATTTACTTTTGCTCGCTTCATTGTAATCAAGGCTCCGTTTATGGACAAATGGCGGTGGCATCTAAGAATAAGGGGGGGGATGAAAGCATCTGAATAAATTGCACAATATGCTCAGCAAAACTTGGTGTTTCTGCTTTTGTAACAATGATAGTAACTTAATATATATATATATATATATGTAGTTTCACATGGACAATAATATAATCTTGTATCATTTGAAAATGTCCCATCGGCTATATCTTGAAATCAGGCCCCCACATCAAAACAAGGCAAAAAAAAAGTACTCCTTGATGATGATAAACTGTAGACTTTAGGAAATAGTATCCGTATTTTGAAAAGTAGATGAAATTAGGGTTCGTTTCTTTCTTTTAGACCAATCAACAACTAACGACAATTAATGCGTCAGTTCTTTTCAGCTCATATTTACAATAGGTGATAAATCGTTACCAGTGACAGATTGTAACAAGTTAATAAGTAGAGGAAAACTGATTACAGCTTACACTTCATTAATACATGGGTGTATCTTCTTGGCCTCAATCTTTTATATAGTTTACTCTTTACTTTATATAAGCTCTTTCCACAATATCTCCAAAATCAATAATTTTGATCTCTACACCTTTAGACTGATATCCAGTTCAAGCCGGGGAAAAAAAAAAAAGAAAAAAAACAACTTAGAGCTCTGATTACCGCAAGGAACCTCAAAGTAACCTGTAAAAAGAACAAGACGGAACATCTCAAGAACTGATCGACCAACACATACTTTAGATACACAGTGAGTGAGCTTGATTGACTAAACTCAATCAAGCTCACTCACTGTGTAATGGAATATGGTAGCGTGGTAACTACATTTTATTTGCATTAAAGCTGATAAAAAAAAAGAAAGATAATTAGAATCACGAAGAGAAACCAAATATGTGTGATAAGATAAAAAAGAAAAAAAAAAAAAAAAAAGAATTAAGAACCAGATTAATCATCAAACCCTGCTGACGAAAAAGTAAGAGTAAAACCATATTGTATTTGTTATGTTGAGATCCAAATTGTCCTCTCTTAGAGAATATCTTACACCAATAAATCATACGTCAAACTTTTTGACAACAGGCGAGATAAGCCCCGAAGAGTTTGTTGAAGCTGGTGACTACTTGGTGTACAAGTTCCCCACATGGCAATGGGCAAGTTGCCCCAAGAATCTTCAAAAACTGTTTTTACCAAAGGAAAAACAAGTATTGGTAACCAAACATGTACCTAGTAATCAGCGAGCCGCTAACTATTATGAGGAAGAGATTGAGACAGATTTTGAAGATCGAGATCTTGTGGTTGGGAAGAAGGAGGAAGGCAATGCATCTCCAGGTTTCCCAGACGACGAAGATTATGGCTGGATAAGGTGTCCCAAGTCCTCTAGTGAAATGGGAACAGGCGAGATTCTGGATCCACAGAAAGCAATTGAAGTAAATGATATTGATGAATTGATAGACGAAAATGCCGAGGGGAATGAAGAATTAAATGACAACAACAACAACAACAACAACAACAACAATAGTGACGACGACGACGACTACGACGACGGTGATGGTAACGATGACTTTGACGACTTGGATATTGTCAATAATTCAGATAAGAAGTTGAGAAAGTACGATTTGTATATCACATACTCAACCTCTTATCGTGTTCCAAAGATGTATCTTGTTGGATTTGACTCCAATGGGATTCCATTATTACCAAAGCAAATGTTCGAAGATATAAACTCGGACTATAAAGATAAAACCGCAACCATTGAGAACTTACCCGTTGCATACAACACGACGTCAGTTTCGATTCATCCTTGTAAGCACGCATCTGTCATGAAGGTTTTAATGAAACACCAGCGACTGAAGAAAGCAAAACCCGACATAACAGAGAATATCAGGTGTTTATCTATCGGAGAACATCCGGCTGATGTAGCTCCCAAAGAAGACGAAGATGATGAGATCAGAGTCGATCAGTATTTGATTATTTTTCTAAAATTCTTAGCTAGTGTTACTCCTGGTATTGAGTACGATTATACAATGGATGCCCTTTGAGGAAAAAAACTGATTTGCTATAATGAAAATGATACTGAATAATCTGAAGAGCTAAATGTAGATACATAACCCCCTTCCCTCCCAATTTCCTCTCTCCTTTACCCTATCATAGACAAACTCAATATATATATATATATATATATATATATTTTGCTAACTAACATCCCTGATGCAATTGCCACTAATCACCTATATTTTTATTTTTTTTTCTCTTTCTTTTGCATCAATTCTCAAGTTTCAAATGTATTAAGCATTGATAATACACCTGTACTAAATAATTGACAACATTTAGTATTGTACCTTGCCAGTTTTGTAGAAAATTGACATTTCAGGATAGTTGTCATGGAATAGATACAAATATTGATCAATTGTTTAACGAAACCTTCCATAATTGTGGAACCAAACCAATTGTGCCCTCTAAAAGTTCTGAAAGTTTTTCCGCTTTTTAGATTTATTTTAATGATGTAACTGGGGGGGTGGACAAAAAATATTTTAAAAGAGGCAGGGTGTGTTATGACTAACTTTTGACGTATAACATCAAAATTGAGTATTTACCACATTTTATATGACTGGCTTTCTGACTAATTGAGATCTAATGTGATTGACAGTAAAACTCAAAAAAAAACCACCTATCAACTTTTCAGTCCCACATCTCGCCTTGTTTTTCTTATTTGTTCAAGAAGTTGTTCAATCTCTTTAAAACATTCTGCAAAGAAGCTAAAAAAAAGAAGAATGGAATTATTCCGAGAAACATCAGAATGCCCCTTTTTTTACACCTCCATACATTTAAGATTGTGCCCACAAATCTCTTTTTGCAAAGAATAAACCTTTATCGACGATATCAGTAAATCTGACCATGTTTTTTTTTTAAGAAGTACTCTTTTTCGCTTTCTTTCCCACCCCATTTCTTAGATAAATTGTTTCGATTGTTTTCATCTGTTTTCCAACATAGTGTATCAACGCTACCATTTACCAAGTTTTACACATTTACATATCTTAAAGTCCTTAGCTTGAGGCGAAACGATGAGCAATACTGGAGAGTACTATTTGTGTTTTTTTTTTCTTCTTTCTTTTAGTCAACCCTCGATGCGATTTGAATTGGCGAAATAAGGGAACTAAAAGGGCAATTTACAATTTCATTTTTTGTATAATTTTTGTTTGAGCAAGGCATGGATGGATTCTATAATTGATTACAGTGGGTATGTTATTTTTAAAAGTCAAAGATTCTTGAATACCCCTGCTTCAATTCAAGGGACTTAGACTATTAATTGAATGGAGGGAGGGAAAGTATGCAAACAGTGGATCAATAACTCACGAATTTGTTTCCCCCAAGGAAATGTTTGCAAATTGTTGCTTCGAACTATGGTCTCACGACAATAGTCGTTAGATCCAGTGCTACCAAGAATGAAATGAATATTGATGTTTTTGGTTTGTTTCAAATAAAGATTATATAAATCTAGACGTCAGTGTTTTGATGTAAGAGATATCAGAATTGTAGTACAAGACATAGATTCTTGGTCTTTATTTTTTTGTTGAAACCAAGATTAGTTGCCCCTTATAGAGCTTTTGGGGAGATTTTGATTACACGAATCTATAAAGAAACTGGTCCAAAGGAGGTGATACATCTTTCAGCAGGAGACAAGCGACATATTCCCCTTATGTGATAGAGACTCATCCAAGAAATACGGCAGAGGGTAGGAGGGGGGGTACAATATAACTAACCAGTTGGAATGAACCGAGTTCATCAAGAATTTATTAATTTTATGAATTGTTTATAAGTTTTTGGATTTTGATGATGACAAAACGTTTACAGGCTGACTTCAATTCTTTCAAGACGTTGAAGATTGTGATTACTTTTTTTTTCTTTTTTTTTTGAATGCTGATGATGAAACTGATGATGAAACTGATTATGAAACTTGTGAAATTCACTAGTGGAGGAATCAAACTGATGAATTCCAAAGGTTTCAAAGATGAAAAAAATAATTGGAGTTAAATTGTCACTGTCTGAAGGGACTTTTTCACACTGTCAATATCAGATCGAGCGCATTAAAAGGAGAGAAAAAAGAAAAAAAGGAAAAATCAAGACAATTGTGGCTAAGCTTTTCAAGCTTATTTTATATTATTTTATTTTTTTCCCTGGAAACCACAAATCCACATTGATACCACCTTGATTTTACAAAATATGCTAGTCTCATTTTCATTGGTAACATTTCGTTACTCATCGCCAGCGACATTTCTTTCATATGTAATATTTTTTTTTTGTATGTTGGATTCAAAGAAGATATTTGAGTGTCAAAACCTTTAACGAAAATTTTTTCTTCATTCTTTTTCTTGTATGGGTTCTGTCACGTGATCATCGACTACCATATACGAGAGAGAAAAAGAAGAAAAGGACAACGAATGGTGCAAAAAAGAAATGATTTGACAGTATTGATAATGATAGTAAGTTAATAGCTTTAATAAAGGAAGCACAAATATCAACTAGAGTGAAGCGATGTTCTAACGGTTTAGCGGAAACTGAAGTTTTTAAACTTATTTGCCATTTTTTTTTTTTTTGGCTCAATGAACAAAACAGATTTGTCCCTTTTTCCCCCTTTTCTTTGTCATTCTGTAGAAATATTTTCTGGTATATACTTATGTGTTAAATTGTAATCTATAAACTTATTTTTTGGGGGTACCCAATTTTTCAGATTAATGAGGGATCTACTTTAATAATATCTCTGAAACATTTTATCAAGGAGACTAAAACTTGTAAACAAAAAGGAACGTATTGGCATCATCATCCCAAAGTTGATGATGATTTTATTTCAAAAATATTGGATATTGAATCTGAGGATGAAAAATGACTAAGCACAGGGTTTGAAAGCAAAACTGTGAGTTTATTGACCTTCCCCCCCCCTCTCTCTCTCTCTCTCTAAGTTTTCATTTCCCTACTATTTCTTTTCCACTTCTCTTCAGTCGAGATAAGCTTCGGATTTAGAAGAGAAACACAATTCTAAGATCCGAAATAGGTTGGTTTGTCCAAAAGAAAATCCTCGATTTTAATCCAGAAACAAAACTTTATTAAAACGTTTGTAACTCTTATCGCACATAACTACTTGTTTTATTTTTATTATTTTTTTTCTCGTGATACACACGAGTGCAATTGGCCCAAAAATTTACAAGAAGTAACGTTTAGGAAACATGAGATGAACAATGATTGTAAAACTTTTTGTGGTTAGGGGATGAACAATAATAGTATTACTAGAGTAATTACGCTTCTGCATATAAACGTGTATAGATATTTTGGTACAAAATATACATATCTAAAGACCACCAGATACTAATTAGTTGATACGATATCACAAAATGGAGATCAAGTTATGATTATAATAAGATGTTTAAAGACGAAGAAAGACGCACTCAGCCCTCACCTTCCCCCGTTCTCTCCTCCTCCCCATAAGTTTAAGAACAGATGAGAATCTAACCATAGTGGAATATGTGTCATTATGTGTATTATAACCATAGCTACATGTACATTTGGTTAAGAAAGTCTAGGATGATGTGAAGATAGACGACAGCTGAAAAAATAAAAAATTGTTGTTTAGTTCTTGCACGTCCCTAGGCAGTTGATTAATTATGAGCCTCGGGATTAGTTCCTGCATTAATGCCATGCGCTGAGAGAACCCTGGTCTGGTTGGTTGTTGTTTTTTTTTTCCTCAGGGGAGAGAAGGGGACACACCATTTTTTTTTTTTTTTTTTACCTAGAAATGTATTTCTATATCGTTCTTGTGCTACTTTTCAGTTAGTAATTGAAATTACCATGGTCTAAAAAAGTGTTTTTAATGGCTGATTAGTTTTGATTACATAATTAATTAGAAAAGGAAAAAAAAGGATTTTAATGGAATATCCATCTATACTGAATATTAACTAGCTTTTTTTTCTCTATATAATCGAATGCTACACTAATATCACATAATCCAAAAACTGCTACCGATATTAAATAGTATTCACCCAAAATAGAGTTGTATATAATAGTGTGGTAGTGGAAACATAGATAAAAAATGACTTGGACTCACCCTATTACAGGATCAAGAAAGATCTTACCAAAGGGGTGGGTTTTATTTTTCTCACCCGCTTTTACTCGAGGAAAATCAGTCTAGTCAATAGTATCTTTTTTTTTTTTTAATGCAAAAAGTCAACTGTATTGTTGGTCAATTAAAAAATCGCGCGTAAGCGTACAAAAACTGTGAACACACAGATGCGGCGGGTTGTTTCTTAGACGATAGTAATATTAGTATTTGTTTAGTTACACAGAAAATGTACCGATACGAAGGTACAAGACGACCATGGAAGGCAAAAAGAAGAGTACTAGACTTCAATGAGTTTTTGGTAAGAGTAGGTGAAGAAGTATTAGGTTTATTCTATTTTCACCTTCAATTGATCATGTTTCTAGAAATGATTTAGATGAATGGTTGTTGGTTAGTTGATACGTCATCATGTAGCAGAAATGAAAAATTTCAAATGAAATTAAAAAACTCGCAAGGTAGGGTATGGGATGTTTATTTGAATTATGAACAATGAGCTTTATAATTTTATGTCGCAAAATGTAGAAATGAAAGAATATCGGTTCCATTCAAAAGCAAATATTCTAAAAAAGTAAAGATTTAACTAAAAAAAAAAACAATCCAATGGTAACAAGTAACAAGGAAAATTGGGAAAAGGTGTATTACAAAACCCGACAAAGTTTGATAAGGTAGCTTAAACGAAAACTTTGGTTTAACTCCTATTTAGATTTGTTATTTGGTTTTACTCTTTTGAAAGAAAAACAACCTGCGTGTTGGTATATGTGTATTAGTATTTTTTTTTTTTGCAGCTCATTTCTGAGCCGCACGGCATTTAGAAATTTTAGACAAGGGGCCCTTTTTTTTTTCTGATTCGTAACATCGCCTCACTGTTTCCACTGCACAGGCAAAATATAATAATATACCTTAACTGTCAAAAGAGCACACAATATCCAATATGGTACAAACAAAGACAACAAGCAGGTAAGAAGACACAAAATGAACTGAACTCAACAATAGAACCTGAAGCTTACAAAACAAAAAGGACACTGTAATACTCCTCCTCAGGGCAGTAAAAAAAAAAATGGAAAATAAAGTTATTTTTCGAAATGAAGAAACAAAGAATTGCAAAATGAAACTTTAATACCGTTTTTTTTCCTTTCTTTTACTTTATTTTCACCTCGTAACTCGGTAGAAAAATCCTTTTAATAATTTGATGAGTGGCAGTAATAGTAATATCATGCCCTCTATTTCAGGTTTACCAGTATATTTATGAATATTTACAGAAATTGCATTTATGACGTGTAATTGATGGGAATTGGTTTCCATTTTGGTTGTAATTGGAAAGAGTCACAAAAAGAGAACAATATATCTATATGTATAAGTTAAAATAAAGTTCAAAATTTTTAGCTTTACCAACTGCGAAAAATCAATCATAAATAAGTATTAATTGGGTGACGATCATGACTACTTTAGAATTAGCTTCTAGAAGTTAGACAAGCTTTTAAATAATTATAGACAAATTTAATAGAGGTATCATTATAATAAACTTTGCTCCTCCCATTTTTCCAGGGTAAATATTAAATAGATATATATATATATGTATATATATATGTTTATTCGTAGGTCGAATTCGTACTTACAAGAAGGGAAAACTTTATAGTCTATATCTTACCAAAAGGTCGAGAAACGATACTGATCCACTTTCTACCCCACCCCTCGTTCTCTTCCTCTTCCTCTTCTTCATCCTCCCCCCCACCAAGGCGAAAACACCAATACCGGGCTTTAACACCAGGACTTAACGAAAATTTACCGTCTCACTTCTAAAATATAAAGTAGGCACGATATAACATCATTACTAGGCTTTGACTTTTCAAAAGACCCTACAGCTAGATCTATTGATAAACCTGCTAATCAGACCTCAACTTCAATATACTCATACTACATTCAATGATAAACGTCACTAGACCCTTGACTCCAAGTTCCACAAGGCCTAATCACATTAAACAACAAAGGTTAGCACCATCACAATTTGAATGTCTAACGCTGCGAAAAATCATGAAGACTGAACCACCACAGACAAAGCAGTTTAAGCAAGTAAACTACCCACAAGAACTATATGAATCTGAAATCAGAATACATAAACAAAATTTTTCTGAATATGACTTGGACATCTATGATGCTATGGTTGATCTAATATTGTCAAGCAGACCAAATTTACAATTGTATAAGGAACAGCCATACCTAACGTTTGCTATTCGTTTGAAATTAATTGATTTTTTACTCAAAATGTCGGTTAGGTTGAAGATCCTCCCCTTTGTATTTTTCAAAGCTATTAAGTTATTTGATAGATATTGCTCCAAAAGAATTGTGCTATTGGAACAATCACAACTAATCATTACCACTTGTTTATGGATTGCAAGTAAAATAGTAGGTGGTAATAACCATTTTGTTAATTTGACTAATTTGGACAAAATTGGCGTCAAGAACTTCAAGACAATTGCCGATTTGGGATACGGCTCCGGTGGCAAGTATCTTGGCCCTACAGAAAGATTCAGATTGCCCAAACTACACGAGTTGGTCAAATTATGTGGTGCTAAATGTAAATATGATCTGGGAATGTTTAAACAAATGGAAGTGCACGTATTGAACACTTTAGAGTGGAGTCTCAATGATCCTTCTATTGAAGAATTTATCATTAGCAGTCACGAATTTTGCATTATCAACCAAGAAGAAGCTTTTGCAAGCAATGAATTTTTCAAGATTAAAGAATACATCAGCTATGCTTCATTATATTCACATGAATTAATTGACGTGAATGTTGTTGAGTTGGGACAAGTATGTCTCGATTTGATTAACGAGGTCTTTAAATTAAGTCCAACAAATGGCAATTATCAAACTTTACTAGACTCCGATGATTTGCAACCTATTAAGTTTGATATGAACAGGTATAGGCTAATCAAAAGAAGCTTAATCAAGGCTATCTTGAACAGTTCCGATTTCTTGGTGAAATTGTTTAACACTAGAGGACCACGGTTTTTGTATCAACAAATTTGTTACCAGTTTAGTGCAGTTAGTACACCCATGATGACGTCAACTGGGACAAACACATCGGCAGCAGCATCAGCATCAGCAACAACAGCAGCATCAGCATCGTCATCGACAAATAATCCAGCAATGCCAACTTACCCCACAATAGTCTCACATCGCTCATCAAGATCTTCCTCGTTCTCATCTTCAGAATCTCCTGGATCCAACAATGTATCGCCAACATATAACTCACCTACAACAGTATCCACCACCAAGTCTACTTTCACACACTCGCCAAATCACATTCGAGGAAAAAAAATTTATCCCTCGCCATTATTTAATAATGTAACAAGCATGGTGCAGCTTCAGCCGCAGCTGGTGCACAACTATTCATATCAAACAGCCACGCCAACTAATTCTGGCGGACAACAGATGCCACCACAACAACAATTCAACAACCATAGTTCTTCATTGCATATTCACCACTACTATCACCCGCCGCAACCTTACAAGGTTTCAACTACTACTGTTACTCCCAATAAAATGTCAGAGTCGAACAAAATAACCTCATCACAAGCAAGTATTGTGTCTTCGATTCATACGTATAAAAATGGTTACGATTTATTTGATCGACCAGGGCCAAATATCATTATTCAAGGTAGTAACAGTAATACTCCATATACAGAAAATGAAAGTCCCTATGCTTACTCTAAGAGGTTTCATGGCTCAATGGGACATCTGAGAGAGCATTGAGAAGAAGTAGGAAGGAAAAGTCATCTCGCTAATATAATGTTGTAATGCTTTATGGTTTAATATTTTTTTTTTTTCTTTTGCATACCTTAGCCCATACTTCATAATTAGTTTTACTGGGAAAACCAAAAAAAAAAGTTGTTAATAGAAACAAAATGTCGTTTTTTGTTAATGTCGTTTAATGTACAAATCAATCTTTTTTTTTATAAACAAAATTGTTTTATTCTAATCTCTGTTTATATTTATTATGTAATTATAAAAGCACCGCTTATATAAGTTTAATATTAGACCAACGAGACACCAAAGAAAAAAAAAAAAAAAAAAAAAAAAAAAAAACAAAAAAAAAAAAAAAAAAATTTTTTTAAAAAAAAAACCNAAAAAAAAAAAAAAAAAAAAAAAAAAAAAAAAAAAAAAAAAAAAAAAAAAAAAAAAAAAAAAAAAAAAAAAAAAAAAAAAAAAAAAAAAAAAAAAAAAAAAAAAAAAAAAAAAAAAAAAAAAAAAAAAAAAAAAAGACCAGAAAGAAAAATGAAAAGATTGTTTAAAAAAAAAACCCATTATTTTTAAACATCCTTCTCCCCAAGACATATTAAACCCATTCATATCTAACTTTTATAGCATACAGTCATATCAGAAAGGATTGTGATTTGGTTAAAGTTTTACGTGTTGCTATCTTGAGAGGAAGAAATTAGGAACTGAACTAGGAGTTAAGACCACCAGAACTAGAAACCAGGAACTAAAAAGTTAAGACATCAGAACTAGAAACCAGAAAAGCAACTTTATCATAAGGATTTCTCCCCCCCAATCAACCCATAGTTATCGCATATTCCTTTATAATCATACAAAGCGCACCACATGCTATCTCGAGTCATATTTTCGCTACTTACGCTTGTGCTGCTCATATCTGCCGATCCTTCCATGGACGAATTGGAAGGTACTTGGACTTCGAAATCCAACACAGTTTTCACAGGACCAGGCTTTTATGATCCAGTAGACGAATTGCTTGTGGAACCGGATTTACCAGGAATCTCATATTCATTCACCAAAGATGGCCATTATGAAGAGGCATTATATAGAGTTGTTGGAAACCCTAAAAACCATTCATGTCCTGTTGCATCCGTTACTTATCAACACGGAAGTTACGAAATTTTGGCAAACGGCTCTGTTGTGTTGACTCCTATTGCAGTTGACGGAAGACAGTTGCTAAGTGATCCATGTAACCAAGAGGATCCAAATACGTCAACATATACTAGATATGTGCAAGCTACTATGTTTAAGACTTTCCAAAGATATGTTGACCCATATCACGGAAGATGGACTTTACAAATATATCAATTTGACGGATCTAAGATGCAGCCATTGTATTTGGCCTATAAACCTCCTTTAATGTTACCCACAAGTGCTTTAAATCCCACAGATGCTGCTTCTGAAACCGATTCAGCATTAGGTTCCACCAGAAACAAAATCAAACGTTCTTTGGAAAACCAGTATAGAACCAATGCTATAAGGCAGACCTCTACCGAGTCTTTTGATAAATACTGGTGGATTAGTGTTGTATGTTTAGGATTAGCATCTTCTTACATGTTCTTAAAGTAGAAAAAAGAAAAAAAGAAGAAGAAGAAGAAGAAGAAGAAGAAAAAATCAATACAAGCATGGTCCCATTTTTGCTCTTTTTTTTTTTTTTTTTTGTATAATCTAGAGGTCAATAAAGGTTTTGAAGTTTTCTTGATAAGTTAGTTCTTTATATCTGATACGATAAGAAGGAAAACCATATTTTTTTCGTTTGGTTGTTCCACCCAAACTCTTGTAGTTGGGTTGTTTTTTTTTTTTAAAAGAAAAAGCGACAAAGTGATTTTTCCCGTAGTAGTTCATTTGTCCTTTTTCTACATACCCCCGGCCAAAAGATTAAACTTTCGGTATAAATAAAATGATGGCAAAGTGATTCATATAGATTTTCTCAGTACATTTTTTACATACATACATACATATAGATTCATATATATATATAGATTTATATATATATATAGATTCACCAACACTATGACGTGGTTTGGGTCTTCTACGTCTGCGCAACAACTCGAGTTAGACAATAAAATTGCAGATGCTACTTCGGAATCCATTCCTAATGGTGACTTGGACCTAAGGGTAGCTTTAGACGTTACAGATTTCATTCGATCAAGAAAATTACCAGCTCAAGCATGTATGAGGAGTTTGAAAAAAAGGTTGAATTTGGTATACCTGAATCCGAATCTAATCACAAGTACTTTAAAGCTTGTTGACTTATGTGTCAAGAATTGTGGGTTTCCTTTTCTTGTGGAGATCAGTTCTAGAGAGTTTATGGATTATTTTGTAAATTTCATCTTCAAAGTACATTATAATACAAAGGACTCTATTATCAAATACGATGAAGCCAAATTAAAAGTGGGCGAACTCATTTTATCGTTGATCAAGCAGTGGAAGGTTTTTTTTCAAAACCAACTACAATTGAATTATGTTGAGAAGAAATACCAGGAGTTGGTAAATGAAGGATTTGAGTTTCCGTCGGTTCCTGATGAACATCGAGGAGGAGATAGCAGCAAATTCATTGATTCTGAAGTTCCACCAGATTGGATCGATAGTGATTCATGTATGATTTGCTACACCCCGTTTTCGATGCTAAACAGGAAACATCATTGTCGTGCTTGCGGAGGTGTATACTGTCAACAGCACTCTGGAAACAATACACAATTGGTGAATTTGGGAATCATGGAACCTGTGAGAGTGTGTGATAATTGCTATGCCAAACAAAAGCACAAGGGAGGAGACAATTTTTCGAGTAATGCAACCGCCCATGCTAGGAAAAGTAAAACTGCCGCTGACGAAGAGGATGAACAGTTAAAGAGAGCTATTGAATTGAGCTTACGAGATACTGGTATTGATGCTCAACCGCCAGTATCTCGATCAGAACTTTCAAGAATTGCGAGGAATGAGGAAGAGGGGAGGAAGAAGGAGGAGAACAACGAAGAGGAGGAGGAGGAGGAGGATGCAGATATGAAGGCCGCAATAGCAGCAAGCTTAAAGGAATATGAGTCTTTTAATCCTAGAAAACTAGAATCAGAACCCATTGAAAACCCTTTCCAAGAAGAGGTTTCTCAAGAACTGGAACTGGATCTTTACAACATTGATTTCGTTCCCATTACTAGCAATAATCGTCAAAATGTAAACACAAGGTATGCTCAGGTATACAATCCACCGCCACAACATCCAGAGACTTCAGCACTGAGACTGGGCTATAATCAAAATATTGACTCACAATCCGCAATACAAATACAAACACAAACACAAACGCCACTATCACCACCGCCAGCACAACAGGACCTCTCTCAAGCAGAAGAAGAGCAAATCAATTTATTCATTACACTTATGAACAATCTACGGAGTGACCCTAAAAAGAGAGCTAATATTATGTATGACGAAAACTTGAATGAGTTACATTCACAAATTATACGGTTAAAGCCAAAGGTTAACAAATCATTGAGGCAGGCTATGGATAAGTACAGTGCTTTCTTAGAGATGAGTAATAAGTTGAGTACAATCACCAGATTGTATGATCAGTTTTGGGAACAAAAACTCAACATGGGTATGCAAGCAACTGGGTTTGGTTTACAGAATACATCATACCCAGCGTACCCAGAAATTCCATACACTAGCACCAACACCGGCGCCCCCGCCTCTGCCGCTCCCGCCCCTGCATTCATACCCACGGACCCAACACACTTAGCTCAGAATTACAGGCCTTCTTTAGAAGAAAACTCTGAATTTGAGAACTATAATTTGCAACTGAATAATCTGCGCCAGGCTATCAACGTTCCTACTGAACCCAATTATGAGGAGCAAGAAGAAGAAGAAGAAGAAGAAGACGAGGACAACGAGGAGGGAGGAAGAGGAGGAGGAGGAGGAAGAGGAAGAGGAAGAGAAGAAAGAGATCAAGAAGAAGAAGCAGTTCCACGTCAGAGACACTCAATTTACCCTGCAAATGAAAATTTACCTGAGTCAAGTGAAAGTGATAACGAAAGGAATGGTCAATCGAGCGATTACGTCACTGTGTCACTCCCGCATTTTCCTCCGCCAGAAGATTTGAATAATGAATTACCTGTTCAGTCTTTTATACGCCATGCATCAAGTAAGTTGTCACCACATGCGTACGAGGAAGCGTCTATGAAGTACCCGGCATTAGAGACGGTTGAGAATGAATTTGGAAGGAACAAGAGTGAACCAGATCCAAACTATGGTCAAGAAAAACAAAAGACTTTTGGTGATTTGCCACAACTTCCTTCAAACTTGCCAGCTTTCAATGAAAGTCAGCAATCAAAGAAACAATACGAGCCGGAGCCATTAATTGATTTGTAAAGGATTAGAGGATTATAAAAAAAAAAAAAAATAGGGAGAAAAAGGGCCCACCAGATATTTAGGGGGCTTTTTTCCGCCGTCTCTCTTTTTTTGGACCAACTGCAATGGAGAGAAATGTTTTTTCGCCCAAAACAATACAAGTCAAAGCAATCTAAATCCTTTTTTTTCTAATTGGTTTTCTCTTTTTTTTTTTTTTTTTTTTTTTAGGGCTCAAAACTTTTTCAAGAAAAAAAAAAGGAAAAAGAAAAAAAAAAAAAAGTGAAAAAAAAACCGTTTTTAGTTGAACGTTTCGACTTCTTCCTCCTCTTCTTCCTTCTTCCTTCTTCCTTATATACTTCAAGTACCTTGTTGAAATTCTTTGTCTTCTTTTCTTCTTTAGTTTTTCTTTAGATTTTCTTTAATTTAATTTCTTTAATTATCTGTTACCTGCCCCAGATATAAGTTGCTAAAGAAGTGTGTTTTCAAGTTCAACACACAACGAGAGCTGCCGAATAAAGGTCCACCAAATTAATACTCACAATTTTCAAACGTGAGTTTAAGAAAGAAAAAAACAAGAGAGAAAGAGAGAAATAGTTTTCTCTGAATCAAGAATAGCTAGTGAATTAAAATTTGTGTGTCTCCTCGTGTCGTCCCCCCCACAAAGGTTATGACATTTAGCATTGTTGAAGAGAAACCAATTAGCTATACTGATGGATTATCTGTTCAGAATGATATAATTCGCACTGATAACTATACCTTTACTGTGAGGCAAAATAGCGCTTATTTTGAAAGCAGCAAGACTGTTAATTTACCCAATAATTCTCATCTCGTAGAGAAGGCATTAATTGATCACGTTCTTGCTATTAACCATGAAGAATGCGATGCTGGTGACGAGGATTCATTTTTTGTTTGTGATTTGAATCAAATACGTACATCAGTTGAAGTTTGGAAGCAATTATTACCCCGGGTTCAGCCACACTATGCAATCAAGTGCAATACGAATATAGAAGTTTTAAAGTATTTGGACAAGCTTGGTGTCAATTTCGATTGTGCATCAAAGAACGAAATTGATACTGTTTTGCAGTTGGGTGTTGATGCCAGCAGAATTGTTTATGCCAATCCCTGCAAAACAACTTCTTTTATTAGGCATGCTAGGAACAATGGAGTTGATTTGACCACTGTGGACAATGTCCAAGAATTGCAAAAATTGGCAAAATTCCATCCCAAATGTAGAATTTTGATTCGAATTGTTACGGATGATGAAGATGCCCAGTGTAGGTTGAGTACCAAGTTTGGGTGTTCGTTACGTACTGCGATGGAAACCATTTTACCCACTGCCAAAGAGTTGAACTTGCCGGTTGTTGGAGTTGCTTTCCATGTTGGTTCAGGGGCCAAGAATTTTAATTCCATTTACAAAGCCATTAGAGATTCAAGGATTTTGTTTGATTGTGCAATTGACCTTGGTTTTAATATGAGCATCTTGGATATTGGAGGGGGGTTTGAGTTTGAAACTTTTACCGAATCCTCTAGAATGGTTAACTATTCAATTGATAAATTTTTCCCCCACGATTATATTGAACAGAACCAAATCAAAGTTATTGCCGAACCAGGCAGATTCATGGTGGCAAATGCATTCACTTTGGCGACTCATATAATTGCCAAGCGTGAATTATCAGACGGCGGGGGCATCAAGGCAATGTTATACATTAACGATGGTGTTTACGGCAATATGAACTGCATACTATTTGACCATCAAGAACCAAAAGCGTGCGTTTTGCAAAGTGGCAACGAGTTTCATTACATTGAGAGGGAGGATGTGAAAACCAAGGAATATGATTTTTCAATCTGGGGACCTACATGTGATGGTTTGGATTGTGTTTCTACAAAAGCTCGTTTAAGATACAACGTTGACGTTGGCGACTGGTTGTACTTTCCAAATCTAGGCGCATACACTAGTTGTGCAACAACCCAATTTAATGGGTTCAAGAATGATACTAAGGTTATATATATCCCTATCAGCGATTAACACACACACACACGTGTGTGTGTGTGTGTGTGTGTTTGACGATTAGAAATTTAAAAAATCACTAATCGTCAGATCCCATCCAACACAGCCTTTGTTAAAATTCCAGTTTTATTTTTAGGAATTGAAAAATTTGGAATGACTTATATAATCCATAATACACAAACTATATAATCAACTAAGCGCGTATTACATAATAGGCGGTTACTGTCACATTAGTAAAAAAAAAAAAAGTTACCTACTCGTTTTGTCCCTCCCTCCCTTACTTCTCATTGTAGGGATGGTGTATTTCAATTAGAGCAAAGTCCCTTCCTAAGTACAATCCTGTATAAGTCTTCTTTCTAAATCCTCTGGCGTTAGTGAAAAGGCAAAAAAAAAAAAAAAAAAAAAAAAAAAAGTTATACATATATCCTTATTTATCTATATGTCACACTCTGCTAAAAATACCAGGCATCGCCAGCAATTTGATCCGAGACGTAATAGACGAGCTCCAGATGTTAATGTTGACTTACAACAGAACACAAATCAGATAAACAATGCTTTGAATGCTATTGCAAAGCGAACATCTGCACCTCCAGACAAGCAACATAAAAAGGACCTTTCAGTTTATACTCTTGATGGAGAAACGTATTCGACAGTGGATAGGGCAGTCAAATCAGTAACTCCTCCAGCTAGTTTCAAGCCTAGTACTGAACAAGTATTTTTACGCAATGGACTACCCAATTGTGACTTTATTAAAGAACATTTCTTTCAAGAGGGTCGCTTGCAAGAAGATCAAGCAATTAAAATTATAAAGCAAGCAACTCAGATATTGACATCAGAGCCAAATTTGTTAACTGTGCCTGCACCTGTTACTGTTTGTGGCGATGTTCATGGGCAGTATTATGATCTCATGAAGTTATTTGAAGTTGGTGGAGATCCCAAAACCACAAAGTATCTATTTCTTGGTGATTATGTTGATAGAGGCTCGTTTTCAATCGAGTGTTTAATTTATTTATATGCCTTAAAGATATGCCACCCCAATTCGTTTTGGATGCTTAGAGGCAACCACGAAAGTCGTCATTTAACCGAGTATTTTACCTTCAAAAGTGAATGCATACACAAGTATTCGGCAAAGCTATATGAGGTGTGCATTGCTTCGTTCAACGCATTGCCCTTGGCTGCAGTCATGAATGAGCAATTCTTTTGTGTACATGGGGGACTATCGCCACACTTGACGGATTTGGACAGTGTCCGAAGGATGAACAGGTTTAGAGAACCTCCAACAAAGGGACTTATGTGTGATTTGTTGTGGGCTGATCCAATCGAAGAATACGACGAAGATACTGTCGACACTGAGTATTTGAACAATACTGTTAGAGGATGCTCATACTCATTCACATACGAAGCTGCATGTAAGTTCTTGGATAGAACTAAATTAGTATCCATCATACGTGCACACGAAGCACAAAACGCGGGCTACAGAATGTACAAACGTACAAAGAGCATGGGGTTCCCAAGTTTGTTGACCATGTTTAGTGCTCCAAACTATTTGGACAGTTATAATAACAAAGCTGCTGTTTTGAAGTACGAGAACAATGTAATGAACATTAGACAATTTAATGCATCCCCACATCCATATTGGCTACCTCACTTTATGGATGTGTTTACATGGTCTTTACCGTTTGTGGGGGAAAAGGTTACAGACATGTTGGTGAGTATATTGAATGTATGTACAGAAGAGGAGTTGGCCGAGGATTTACCCTTTGAAGAGTCAGAAATCGGAGTTAATAATAGTCAACCTCCTAGTGTTGTCGCATCACCAAGAATCAATCCACCAAAACCATTCTTTCCTGTGCTTGAAGAAGAAGACGAATTTGGAAGAGGAGAAGGAAAAGGAGAAAAGGAAGATGATGAATCGTTGGCTGAGAAAAAATTAGCTCTCCGCAACAAGATTATTGCAATTGGGAAAATGTCACGTATGTTCCAAATTTTGAGAGAGGAACAAGATAGTGTAGCGCATTTAAAAAGTCTCAATAGAGGTTTATTACCAAAGGGTTCTCTATTGCATGGAAGAGAAAGTTTACAAAGGACTATTTCTACTTTTGAAGAAGCAAAAGCGGCTGATCGTATTAATGAAGCACTACCTCCAAGCCCGGCAGAAATGAGAAAAATGGAACAGGAGAGAAGCGAGAGGATTAAGAAACACATGGAAGAGCATGACAATAATAGCAACCCAGTTATTCATAAGTTAATGAGAAGGTTATCGCAGAATTAACACAATGCAGATTCATAGCCCAAATAAATAAAGAAATAAATAAATAAATTAATTAATTAAAAAGAAGGAAAAAGAAAAAAAAAAACAAGATAAGTCGAAAAAGCCGGGTCAAAGAGGTGAAGGGTGTGAGTATATACATTTGATTTAAAATTTTAGCAATCTTACTTGTGTTAGCCTATCCAAAGTATCAGTATTCGTTAATATCACCTCTTCTGCATTGTAAAGAGCAAACGAACCTCTATATTAATTTACTAAAGATATAATTAAGGGTGACAAGATGCCAAAAATTCTTCTAACTTTATATTACACATATAATTTATGACTTTATACAACTTGTTGAAGAAGCAGGTGCAGAAGCACCCCTGTTATGAGTCATGTGAGATTGCACAAGATGACCCGCAGCAAGGGCAGATGCAAGAGACAATTCCGCGGCTAGTACTGTAGAAGCAACAATTTTAGCTAATTGCTGTGCGTTTGCACCAGGTTGTGTTTGGTGAGGGCCTCTTACACCTAACAACTCCAACATTGAACCTTGCGCATCAAGAATAGTTCCACCTCCAATTGTACCAACCTCTATTGATGGCATAGAGACAGAGATGATCAATTCTCCATCAGCACCTTTATCCATCAAGGTGATACAATTTGCACTCTCTACTACTTGAGCGGGATCTTGACCACAAGCCAAAAAAACTGCGGCAACCAAATTTGCAGCATGTGCGTTGAAACCTCCAATGGCACCTGCCATTGCAGATCCCACTAAATTTTTTGAAATGTTCAACTCCACAAGAGCGTCAGTATCAGATTTCAAAACTTTTGTGACAGCATCCCGAGGAATTCTTGCTTCAGCAACAACAGACTTTCCTCGACCTTCAACCCAATTTATAGCTGCAGGTTTCTTATCAGTACAATAATTACCGGACACAGATATGATCTCCATATCTTCAAATCCAAACTTATTCACCATTTGATGCAAACAGTATTCCACTCCCTTTGAAATCATATTCATTCCCATTGCATCTCCAGTTGTTGTTCTAAATCTTATAAATAACAAAGTACCAGCAAGAGCCGTCTGAATATGTTGAAGACGTGCAAATCTGGAGGTTGAATTAAATGAGTTTTTCAAAGCCTGTTGGCCTTCGGGAGAGTCAATCCACAATTTTGCTGCTCCAGCTCTTGCTAGTGAACCAAATTTGACACAAGGACCACGAGTCATACCATCTCTCGTCAATACTGTTGTCACTCCACCCCCACTATTAATAGCTTTACAACCCCTTTGTGTGGAGGCTACCAAACATCCTTCAGTTGTGGCCATAGGCAAGTAGTAACTCTTTCCATCAATAATCAACGGACCCGCAACACCAACGGGAAGTGGCATGTAACCAACCACGTTCTCACAACACGCGCCAAAGATCTTGTCATAGTCATAATTTAAATGAGGAAGCCTATCAATTTGAGCATTGGCTAACTTGGCGATTGCTTTACGGCGTACAACAACTGCTCTAGCATTGTTTGCCAACTGTTTTTCCAATGCATAAAGTGGTAACTTTCCACTTACAACAAGAGAAGTGATTTCGCTGTTGGTAAGGGATTTGACTTTACCATCTTTGAGAAAGGCAATACATTCTTGGAGGTCTCTAGAAGAAGCTCCTTTGCCTCCTCCAACCTCCATTTCAAGTGCTTCAAATGTAGTTTCATCTTTGCGATTCTCTTTAACCTCAGCGGGCTTCAACATTTCATTTTCAAGCAATTTGTGGGTTGCTGTAACTTGATATCTAGCGGCATTTAAAAAATAAATGTTGGACACAATAGAAACACCAAATCCAAAAAGAAGAAACTTGGAAATCAAACTATCCTTGATAGCATCACTAATTTTTGCAAGAACGAGATAAACAAAGTCTTCCACTTGTGACGCAAAACCATGAACGTAAAACCTTGTTGGGAGAATAGTCAATAATGTGCCATCGCTACCAATGGTGACAGTTTCCGGGATTTTTAGTGATGACCCAGACCTACCCTCCATCCACGAGCTTCCCACCCAAAACACATTAAACGCGATAAATCCAACGCTCATAACAACCTTAAAAGATAATATTGAGTAGTCTTGGAAAAAGTTAGTTTCGTTTGGATGTTCAATAATGGATGATTGTTCAGCAACCCTTGCAGCTACCAATGAGGAGATGCCCTCTTCTTCCAATGCATTTTTCAAATCTTCTGTTCTTCTGGCACGATTTATCTCTATTTTCAACGCCAAAATGGCTGCATAGAATGTGTGTACCAATATCAAGTCAAAGGCCAATATAAAAGCACTAAGAATACAAAAGTTTCTCAACCCCGTTAAATGGTTGGCATAAACTGCACAAGCAACTAAAGCTCCAATCACAACAACGTGGTCCCTAAACATGCTCAAAGTGTGTGAAGAAATTGCTTGTGAAACTATATGGGGAACATCTTCGGGTGATACTGTTGACGACTTCAGAACAACGGTAGCAATTGATACCTTGTGTTTAAAGCCAATAATAGCAACTAAAAATGGAATCCCCTCTGAAAGACTTAACAATGATACTTTTCTATCAAGTTTAATGGACACCACCAAAGCGAATAAAAATGCAAACGTAGAAGACACTAATGTCGAGAAAGCCAACCAAAACTTAGAACCTAGCTTTCTAATGTCCAAAAAAACTTTGATCAACGTATACCACATGGCAATGTATGCAACTAAAATCAAGATGATATCAAAATTGTCAGCTTTTTCAAATGACTCTTGCAATTTGTAAATCTCCTTCCTAAGGTATTCGTAATACTTGATAATCTTGTGGCCCTCTGTCAACTTCCACGTCACACCGTCTATCGTAATTGTGTCCAAATTGGTCTCATTATCAACGAGCAAGATCTGTTCATTGCCATTGGAGCTAATTGCATTTGGGAGTTGCGGTACTGTGTGGAAACTTCTAAATCTGACAGGCGCCAAAGTTATATGCTCGCAATTTGCAAAATCTCCAATTTGTTCCTCATTAATGTGCACCCACTCATTCAAGGGACTTGGCGAGTGGTAATAACTAATACCATCGGATGATGGTACATATTCATCAACAATTGACAAATAAGCAACCGATGCAAGTAATGCCGGCACGACAAGAAAATGTATAGGTCGCGTTGCAGCCGTCTTGGCTATAGCACCAGTGATGCTGAACATGCCGATGCCGTATTATAGTCTTGTCTCTTTTTGCTTCTCTTGAAAAAAAGAGCTGCATCTCTGAGAATTTTTTTGCCAGCTGCAAACAAATTTGATCCTCGTATAAACAAAAGCAAAAAAAAAAAAAATCTCTAATAACTTTACTATAAGCGAAGAGGTAAAGTTAAAAATGGAACAACTGAAAAAAATGAAAAATTAACCAAAGAGAAGACAAGAGAAAAAACAAAACTAAACTAAAGGATAGAAAAGAAGAGAAGAAAAAAAAAAATAAGGACTCAAGTCTAAGTAAAGCCTTTTCTTATTTATCTCTAGTGAAGGTAGATTACTTTAAAGAAACCAACTTGATGTCAAAGGTTAACTCAGAGTTTGCTGGAATTCCAGGAAGGGATTGAGATCCGTAACCCATTTTTGCTGGAATAATAACTCTTCTTTCGCCGCCAATGCTCATTCCAGTGACACCCAAGTCGAAACCCTTGATACATTCACCTTTACCCAATTTGAAGCTAAATGGTTTCCCAGTAGTGTTTTTATCAAATACTTTACCGTTTTTCAATTTTCCAATGTATCTAATACCAACTTTGTTACCAGATTTGGCTTCTGGACCAGATCCTTTCTTTCTGTCCTCAGTAACAACTCCACCTAACAAAGTCTTTGTAGGAAATTTCTTTTCTGCCTTTTTCTCATCCGTGGCTAATGTTGAGCCTGTTGGGCCTTGTTCCAAATCTTTATGAAACTGGACAGATTTTTTCTCTTCCTTAGCCGCGTCTGCCTTTTCAGCCTTTTTAGCCTTTTTAGCCTTTTTCGACTTTTTGGGCTCTTCTTCAGCTGCTCTCTTCTTTTCATTCTCCTCTACAATTTCTTCAATCTTACCAGATTCAGCAGAATCTTCGCTTGTAGCATCGTATTCAAGCTCGGGAATGATCTCATCTTCATCTGGAGTCAAGTCATACTCATCATCATACTCATCAAAGTCATCCTCGTCTTCTTCACTCTCGTCAGCAGGATGTTCAATGTAGTTACCAGTCAAATGGATTGGATACGAACCAGTAACAACAAAGTATACTTCTTCGTCAGGAGTAATTGTGAGGTCAAGTGTTTGTTGGTATTGGTGTTTTGGAGATAACGTACAAACAACAAACTCGGATATACCTTCATCTAAGTCTTCGTCATCTAAGTCGTCATCTTCGTCGTCTTCGTCTTCTTCGTCTTCGTCTTCTTCTTCATCATCGTCTTTATCACCTTCTTCTTCATTGTCCTCCTTACCTTTACTTTTCTTCTTCTTCTTCTCATCAACATCATCGTCATCGTCTTCTTTTTCTTCCTCGTCGTTCTCCAAGTTATCTAATTCGTCGTCCTCATCATCGTCCTCATCATCGTCCTCGTCATCGTCCTCATCATCATCATCGATGAATGGGCTTTTCTTTAAAATTCTTAAAGTCGATGGCTCCTCTTTATCATCAACAGCTTCTGGGTCCAATGCAGCCAAACTAATCCGGATAGTCACAGGGAAGTCATCTTCTACAGCAGGAAGAGGTTGAAATGGTTTTAAAGCCAAATTGTATGTGGCAATAGGTGTTAATCCAGACATCTTTAATTAAAGTAAAGAATTAATAACTCGGTCTTTGACTTTCACTTTTTGCTTTTAAAATTCTCGCGATGAGATGGAAATTTAAAGAAATCTAATTTTTGCTCACGTGTGTGTCTTCTGTGTCTGTCAGTAAAGTGGACTTCACAAACCTTGTAAGCACTTCACTTCTTGTTAGCTTGCACGACTTGTTGGGAGGACCAGCCAATTCCCCCTACCACAAGCCAGCCGAATCGATGGTACATGTTACAACAACAAAAACGACGACATATATCGTTAGATGATATAGCAAATATTAGTCGTCGAGTCATATAATTTTATGGTCCTCTCATTCATATCATGTGGCGGTGTATAGCTTGTAAAAAAGAAAGGGGCCCAAAGCTTATTTATCAATCTCTTCCAAAAACCACACAAATGAAACAAACAGGACATTTGTACGAGCTGAAGGTAACATTAGTGTTTAACTATCTCTAACGTCTCTTGTAATTGGTCTATAGAGTCAGAGCCGGGTTTGTTTTCATTCTTCACCACTTCATAGTAGCTTTCATGAAATTGCACTCTTTTTTCTTCTTTTTTTTTGCAACCTCTAATGGTACGGTGGTGGTAGCAAATCTACCGCGAAACAGTACAGTAGTATCTTGAAAAAATCTACACCAGACTGAACAAAGTCAGATCCATTCTCTCTTTTTTTTTTTTAAGTATTAAATATACAAAGTACGAAAACACTATACAAGGTAATGGAACCTTCACCCTTTAAAACCTTTGATTTCGTCTATTCTCTCATTCCCTTCTTCTTCTTCTTCTTCTTCTTCTTCTTTCTCCACCTACTCCTACTTCTTTCTCCTTCCTAAATGTAGTGTTTTAAAATTTTAACAAGTGAGGTCTGTCACCCTTCTTTAATGAGAATGAAGCGGCCAAGTATTGTTTCAATAATGGGGTTTTCTTGATCTCAGCCAATAAAGCAGCATCAACTGATTTTTGGTCGGCAACTCTTTCACCTTTGATTTCCTTCTTAGCTGGGGTTTCATCGAATAATTCAGCTTCGGATTTCTTTGATTTTGGTTTTTGTTCTCTGGCAAAGTATCCTACATTGAACTTTGAAACGTCAACACCTTCAACGTTTATCTTGGTGGAGGTGGCAATGACATATCTGGCATTAACTCTTCTTAATGGAACACCGTTGACTTTGAATGGACCTGATACCAATAAGGTGTTGTCTTCCAAGTTTTTCAAGTATACAACTCTTTTTCCTCTAAATCTACCTGCTAACAAGATCAACACTGTACCTGGAACCAATGAAGCACGTAATTTCTGTGGACGAGCAGTTTTCCTGGTTTGTTTTGGGACTGCTGCGTCTTCTGGTTGATACCACTTTGGTGCCTAAAAGAAATAAAATGTTAGTATTCAATGTGCTAAAATGAAATACTGACTGACAGTCTTTCCTCTACCTCTCCCTCTCTCTCTCTATTCTCTCCTTATTATCCCTGCTTTATTCTTTTCCCTTTCTCTTTTGCATTCACTGTCATATCATCATGGCTTCAATTATGGTTAAATTACATACTACTTGATTCATTGTTATTGGCGTTGTGTTTGGGTAATTAGAAATGGAAAGTCAAATTTTTTTTAATTCCTTTACCACTTGAAAAAAAAAAAAAATAAACCTATAGTATATGTTTAACTACGGAACAATATACAATAGTGGTAGTACTTATTAGTAGTAGTCAGTACCATTTAGTAGGGCCCGCAATGAAAAATTTCATAGATAGAAAGGCGGCGCGCGCACACACACACACACACACCAATCGATATGACAGAAGCGCTACCGTAATACTCTGTATTACTTTTTCAAAACGTAGGGCATAAACCTATAAACGCATATTATCACGTGTAGGTGTTTGTGCCCCCACTTTCTTTTTCTCTATCTCTATCTCTCTATCATAGTGGGTGGGTACTACTTGGTATTACTACTTTATTATTGCTCATTTGAAGATAATACAAATCCAAGCAACATCAATGACTATCAAGAAAGCTACTCTACACTACTACCTCTCTGCTTTTCTTTCTAGCTACTTGTGGCTTTGTCTTTTGTAAATATTTCTCCAGGAACAACAATCTAAACTCACACAAGATTCTGGTTCGCACTAACACTAGTAAATTGCAGCCATAATGATCGAAAAGATAAGATCAATAACAAATACAGATCTTAAAAAAACTAACTCTACTACACACAACACATATGTGAGATAGATATGCTAGCGGTCAATTATAAACTAGACTGTCTGTTAGCTATATTACTTTCATGAAAAACCTCTATGAAGCTAAAGAGATCAATTTTTCTTACTTTAATAACATAAAATAGAGGAAAAAGTAAGAATAAATAATGCAATCTTTTTCCTAATAAACAAGCAAGTGGTATGTGTGATTTCTTTTCCAGTATCCCAGTCTCTTCTCTCCTTTCCTGTCCTCATCTCTCGTCATGGAAAATATTTCAAGTTTATTACAATCGCACCCTCGCCAGCTGGTATTGTAATGTTATCGCTGAAATTGGTATAGTCCGCTAAATTAATCACAGCTTCTCCAAGAGCAACACTCTTTCCAAAAACACGATGGTCTCTAACATTTAACGTTATTTTTCCACTAGGGGCTGATTTGAAAGGTATACTTTCGTTCCACTTATAAACGCCACTGTGTTTATCTGCTTTGGTAGATCTGGTCTTGAGCAATGTCTTACTCCTAGTGCTGGTACTTAAAGCAGCCTTGACTTCTAATCCACTTGAAGAATACCCCTTTCCTTGAACAATAGTAAGTCTACCAGGTATTGCAGCTTGTCCATGCATACTAGCAGCAAAACTCGAAACGTCGGTCGCCGTACTGCTATTTCTATTATGACCTTGCTTCAAAATCGGTTTTTGTGGGGGTGGTAATGGTTCCTCGCGAATATTTGGAGCAGCATTGACGCTAGATATTTCAGCATCTTGAGTTTCTCTAAACTCTTTTTCCTCCTGAGGAATATCAGCCCCTTGCTCTTCTTTTTTACCACCGTTATTGTTATTATTATTATTGTTGTTGTTGTTGTTGGTATCACCACCATCCTTTTCTTTTTCTTCTTCATAACTATTATTATTACTGTGGTTGTTGTTATAATGACTTTCTTCTTCTTCTTCTCCTCCTCCTCCTCCTCCTCCTTCTCCTTCTCCTTCTTCTCTTGAACTAAAACCGCGATTCTCGTTGTTTTTCGTAGAACTTGGAGACATCGACTCAGAATCATTATGATGGTTCTTTCTCTTCTTCTTTAAACTTTTCAAGAGTGAGTGGCCCTTGGTTACACCATCTGATGTCATGCCGATACCTGTGCCCAAAACGTCCATCGCCATGTCTGAAATGTTTCCAACTGCTTTCATGGATGCCTCAGAAACCTCACCAAGATTAACAGGTATAACAGATTTTGCGTCTAATGGTGGTCTGATGTACTCGGGGAAGAACGCTCCTCTCAAATCGATGGTACCTTGTGTATCTAGATTTAATGTGAATGGAGTAGTCGTTAAAGCGGGAAGACTAGATATATCCAAATTGGCAGTACCTAATAACTCATCATCATGTGTGAGATCCCAATCATAAACTTCAAGTAACAACACTTGTCTTGATCTTGAAATCATTGGAAATTCAACAGCCTCATTCCAAAGTGGGTCCAACGTCTTACGTTTTTTATTTGTTCTGTAAACTTCAATACCATCCAATTTCACCACCAACAATGGATCTGACTTTCCGTTGGTATCAACTGACTTCAAATCGTGGGCTCCAATGAGATCCAATTTACATCTACCAACATCTAATACGGTGTCCAATGGAGCCAATTTGGCAAAAGATGGGAAATACTCCAACTGCACTTTAATGGTATTCTGTCTACCAAGATTGAGCGTGATAGGTGCGTTAAACGATTTTTCGTAAATATCAATGGTATTAAATCTCTTTTCCAATACCATATCCTTCTCGTTGGTGATTTCCGGCTTTTTGGTGATTCTAAAAATCAACTTGGAGTTTGGCAAATCTCGAATAAATGTTTCCGCAAACGAGGTTGTCGTAATCTGTTTGTGTTCCACAATTGGTGAAACTCCAGATGGGCATGCATGCTCATCAAACAATGTTTGTACGTAAACATCGTTGGATTCAAAACGACCACCATGCAAATGTACAATCATATCACCAGCTCTGTACTTGATAGCGTCAGCCAATTTAATCTCAATCTTGGGAGGCGGAGCTATTGTATCTTGTTCAGTTTCAATCCACTCATACTTTCCAGGATTCTCCTTGTACAATTTCTCATCCTTCTCCTGTTGCTCCTTTTCTCTCTTTTCCTTCAACCGTTTTTGCTCATCGTATTCTTCTTTATTGTGCAATTCTGATAATGAGTACGCGCTAATGGTTGGAAAGAATGAAATAGAATAAAACAAAGATCCAACAGGTTCAGTTTCAAATAGAACGGGCTGCTCGATAATCTCATCCGTGCCATCATAACCAAGCCAATATCCTTCATCGTTTTTCCTCAAGAAATCTGCAACATTGATTGCTGCAGTACCCAAAGATCTGTCTTTACCTTCGGGCTCTGCATCCATAATCTGCAATAAATAATGCAGATGCGAATCCGCCACGGGTAGAAAATATACCGAGTTCCATTGAGGATTAATGGTTTCTGCAAAAGTCACAGTCTTTGCACGTAACTTACCATTGAACATAACCTTTACATAAGGATCCACGTAACCAACAGATTCCAAATTCTTCAACCCCTTAGCACCTCTCAAATGCAACCTCAAACCACCAATTGGAGCATTCCTAATTACTTTGGCACTTGTTTCCTCGTCAATCACTAAAGGTTTCCAAGTAGCACTAATACGGATTTGAGGAGCTGGCGCATTAGGACTGATAACAGGACATGTGAACCACTGTTGTCCTCTACCACTCTCAAAAATAATATCCTGTAAATTGACGTTCAAATTGGCAACAATTTTATTATTCACTGTGTCCCTAATCAACACTTGAATCTCAGTCTCTGTTTGTTGTGTGATTAAACTTTCAAATGATTCTTCCCAAGAAGGTTCATTTGTTTGTCTCAACTTACGACAAGTTTTAACCAATTCACTATTAACATAAATCTGTGCATAAGGATTCAACAACCCAATCACTGAATGTGAGATATCCAAGTTTCTAGCCTCGTGTAACGCAATGTTCATAATTCCAACTTTCGTATCTGTATCAACCTCCTTGGTACCATCTTCCAACCGGATGGGTTGCACCGTTGGAAACCATTTAAGGTCAAGTTCAAGTTTGCCAACAACTCTACCACCCTCCATAAGATTCTTAGTAATTGCTTTGAAACTGTTTTCTTGAAGTAATTCACCAAGAGGAAACTCACAGTTCCCAATCAATTGATCGTCCACTTTATCCTCAACCAAGTTAAAAGCATTAAAATTCAAAAAGTTTCCTTCCAATTGATTAACCAAAATATGTTTGGTTTCCAAAAAAACAGGATCATTGGTTGCTTTCTTTGTTTTGGTCCGTTCGTCAATATCACCATTATTTGACACTTTTATTTGAACATAGGGATTGATACTCTTTGGTTTTGTTGTTTTACCTGTTTTCAAATTTGTACAAGATCTTATCGTGACTGCTACAACACCAATAGAACCATGCGATTGTCCTTCCAACAAGTCCTTCACGTCAATATCAAACGAATTTGGCGCATACAACATGGGTCTCAAAGTGGAATGAATAATACCATTAACGAATTTAGACAAACCAGGGATAAAGGACATAATGTCAATACCAAACGTATCGCCACCAACTGGTTTAAGAGCATAGTCAATAGTAGGAGCTTCCAAAAACTGAATAGAAATCGTTTTGACGTGAGGAAAATTTGGCGTAAGCCTCAACTTGACTTTTAACCTACCAGTAAAGGACATGTCCTCGACCAATATGGGTAGCGACTTTGTAATGAAGGCTTTACCAACGGTGACCCCCAAGGCTACCTTTGGATCAATCTTTTTCCTTATTTCATTCTTTGTCATATCATCGGTATCATTAGGAGTGAATGAAAATGCCCAGTCCATTTCAATGATATTTTGCTTTTTCTGAGTATACGACTTTATTGAGTCGATTCGAGGAGCTTTTGAGCCCAAAGTAAATTCATCCAATGATAATTTCTCAATACCAAATCCAGGTGCTTGATCTTTCAAAATCACATTGGCTTGGAACATAACTGTTTCAGATAATGCTGGCATGTAAATGACCCAAAACTTGTCCAAAAAGGAGTTCATCCACTCCATAGTTTCCAACTCATGAACTAACCGATTATTAGCCGTTATTCTAGCCATATCGTCCCTGATATTGCGATTGAATCTCCTAAACTCTCCTCTATACACAGAATTGGTGAACAACAACACAAGCCCCAAGGATAAAATGCCTCCACCGAATTTTGCAACCAACCAAGCGAAAAAGCATGTACCCAAGATCAAAGAAGTGTTCCAAAACCAGTCACCATAAAAGTGGTCAACAATGTATGCCTCTACAATCTTGGTGTTCTTCAATAGTTTCTTTTTATCAACGTCATTATCAGTATCCCAGCCTCCAACGTTGTGCCATGAAAAAGTTAACTTGTCTCTTATGTGTACCTTCTTTTTGTGCGATGTATCTTTTACCGGCTCTGATGGTGAAGGTTTAGGCTGATTGTCCAATTTCTGAGGTGCTGCTTCTGCTGCTCCTCCTACGTGTGTGTTGATATCAGACCTTGCTTTCCTATTGTACTCGTCAACATCCTCTTTATTATTGAGAGTGTCTTGTGGGTTATCCTTCTGTTGCTGTTGCTCAGGCTACTCAATGGCTTGTTAGTTTATCTAACTTGCGAGATACGGCAGCGAAAAACTGCTCGATGGTGGTGCACACTAGCTGCCACAGACACTATCTCCACTATCTCGCTCTGCTCGATGGTGGAGGTATGGAAACCTCGGGGATAGGGGGGGATGATTTGCACACATACCTGACTCTTTGTCATACTTTCCCAAAGGTCAATTGACTTAAAAACAAAAGAGAATATGTATCCCTTAATGCTATATCCTTTTTATTGATTATTTTTCCGTATATAGGGTTTTTTTTTATTGCTAAACGACATTAGTAAATTTCAGGTTGCTATGGGTAAGCATTTTTTGAAATCAGCAATTTTTTCAAATAGGGAAAGGCGTAGGAAGAAATGGCCGAGATTTGCGCCAGTGCCGACAGCGCGACACTATCGAGTAGAGCGAGATAGTGGAGCAAACTTAGTAGCTTGTTTGGAAAAAAAAAAAAAAGAAATGGTATACGAAAAACACCCGGATTTCCAATGTAGAAACAAGATTATATTTCGAAACTATCGAGCAGAGCGAGATAGTGGAGCAAACTTAGTAGCTTGTTCCAAAAAAAAAAAAAGAAGGAAATGGTATACAAAGAGTTAGATACTTGTCTCTTGAGGGTTATAGAATGAGTTTTTCAGAGAAAACTCACCAAGAGTTAGCTATTGAGATTATTATCAAGATTATATCCTATTTACCCCTTTATTTTTTTTCTATTACCTTACTTTCCTTATTGATGAACCTCTTTGACATTTCAATGACTCGCTTAGTAGATTTGTTTCTTTTACTTTTGTGTAATATATCTTTATTATTTATCTATGACATGTCGTGAAAGTTTCTTGTAAGCTTGTCGCGACACCAGCGTGACACTAGCGAGCGAAGCGAGCTAGTGGAGCACACTGGGTATATCGACACTAGCGTGACACTAGCGAGCGAAGCGAGCTAGTAAAGCACACTGGCTATATCGACACTAGAAAGTATATCGACACTAGAAAGTATATCGACACTAGAAAGTATATCGACACTAGAAAGTATATCGACACTAGAAAGTATATCGACACTAGAAAGTATATCGACACTAGAAAGTATATCGACACTAGCTCGCTTCGCTCCCTAGTGGAGTAAACTTTTTAATTTTTTCTTTTCTTTCAAAAATCAGTGTCAATTAGATCATAATTGAAATAGGAGCCGACATTACACTATATGTGAAGTTATTAAAAAAAATTCGCAACAAAATGAGTGCAATATCGTGGATACATTTATTCTCTTGCCAAGTTTAGTTTTTTGACACTATCGAGCGAAGCGAGCTAGTGGAGCAATCAAACCCGTGTGCTGCTCGATAGTGAGCAGAACTTTGTAACTTGTTGCAACCCCATCTCGCTCTGCTCGATAGTGAGCTCTTTTCGTTTCTCTCATAACCACCCGGTACAACTTCAAGGGGGATGAGGAGAGAATACACTGCGCAATGTAGACTTTTCACAATTTTTAGTCAACTTTTAAGAGGCATTCACACTACGTCATTTTCGATTCGCATGTTATGTATAAAATGATTTAAAAATAAAGAAGAATAGCTAAATACATACTCCCTATTTTCTTTTCTTTTTTTTTTTTTTTGCTCATTAAACTGATTCCAAAACAACATCTTTGAAACCGCTAGAAACTTTCTTACCTTTTTCTTCAGATGAGGCTTCACCGTGTAAAGCCAATAATGAACCCAAGTCGAATTTAGGTTGTTTCAACAATTTGACTTTTCTTATGTGAACATTCTGTAATGGGAAGATAGTTTGAGTTGATTTTTCAATTTCACGACCAATGACTTCTGGAATCAATTTAGAAGTTAATTGAGCCAAAGTACAGTTTGAAACTTCTCTTTGCATGATTTCAGTCATCTTTTTTCTAACTTCTCTCAACTTGGATGATTGAGCATAAGTTGTCTTTTTGATTTGGTTTGGTTGTCTCTTGGTGAAGGCAATAGCGAAAACCCTCAAAACGTAGTCGTCAGAGGTTTTGACAGTGACGTTAGCTTCAACTAATGATTGCCATTTTCTAACCAATGATCTTAATTTATCTGATGTAAAGTTCAAACCGTGGAAGTTGGTCAACAAGTTTTTACCTTGAACTTCGTCAACTCTTAACTTGATTTTTCTGTAAGCGTGATCTTCGGAACCTTGTAAATCAGCTAAACAAACTTCAACAACTCTTCCTTTTAATCCATCAGCTGCGTTTTTTAAACCAGTTGATCTATTAATCAAAGTCTTACCAACATTTCTGTTTTCAAAAGTGGTTGGGGCTTTAATGTCAAACCAATCTTTCCTGGTAAAAGGATCAACAATTCTCTTCTTGGCTCCTTTCTTGGATTTACTAAGACGTTTATTCTTTCCTACAGCCATATTGATATGCTTTGCTTTGAGTCTGCTCTAAAATGCTGGATAGTTGTCGATAGAGAAAAGAGAAAGAAACGAGTAAAAAGCAGGGCATTCTGAAAAATTTGAAAAATTTTTTTTTTTTTTTTCAAAATTGTAGATTTCCTTGCACATTGTACACGACTGTAGGGTAAAAAAAAATGTGGGAAAAAAAAAAAGAAAAAAGTCTGGTAAGGGCACGATGGACTGAAGAGACTAGAGGAGCCAAAGACTGCTGGAGGGGACTAGAGGAGCCAAAGACAGTTTTAGTTGAGAGAATAAAGCTTTGTAGAAACTAGAGGAGCCGAAAATGGCCCTTGTCTATAGAAAAGAGTGTAGAGATCAGAGACACTTGTTGAGAAGCGCAAAAGTAGTATTGTGCAGAGTAGAGTAGAACAGACTAGAAAAGACTAGACGAGCAAAGCGAGTCTAGTTGAAGAGACCAGAGAGTAGAGATATAGACTATTGAGAAACACGAGTGTAGTAAAAAGAGAGAAGAGAGTAAAGTCTAGAGAGCAGAGAGAGAAGTAGAGAGTAGAGAGTAGAGACTATAGATATAGACTATAGAGCAAAGCAAGTGTAGTAGAGAGAGAGTAGAGATATAGACTATCGGGCACAGCGAGATAGTCCAGAGTACAGTACAGAGCAGAGACCAGGGTTGTAGATTATCGAGCAAGGCGAGTGTAGTAAAAAGACAGAGGAGAAAGAGAAATCAAGAGTGGATAGTCTAGAGTAGAGTCACTTTGCTCGGTAATCGGAGAGAGCAGAGACTAGAGACTAGTTGAACAAAGCTAGTGTAGTAGAAAGAGAACATACTGAGTGAAATAAAGTATCTCGCTTTGCTCGATAGTCGAAGAGAGATATAGACTATCGAGCAAAACAGGTCTAATAGAAAAAAAGTCTTGAGTAGAGACCATACAGAGACTAGAGATAGACTATTGAGCAAAAAGATACTAGTCGAGAGAGAGAGAGAGAGAGAGAGTAGAGATAAGGTAGTGTAGGCACAGAAAGCTGGGATGTGTTGAAGACAAAAAAGCTCTCGTCAAAGCTCTTGACTAGCGAAACCAAAAGGTTTGGTTAAATTTTAATATTCATACAATTCAATCATTCCAAAGCCAATTCTCTATAACTTTGGTTTATCCATATCTAATCTCGCAAGTACAAGTGCGGTTTATCCAAATTACCAAAATCGCTAAAAAATCGATTTTGGCGATGTGGGCAATTTGGCAATTTGGCTACTTGGATTTGGCAGTTTAGCAGTTTAGCAGTTTCTTGTGCCCAATCACAATTTCTCCTAGCATCTTCCACCTTGCCTCTAAATCGTACCTATGAATATGAGCGTCTAGTCAAGAGACTTTTTCTTTTGCAACTTTTCATTTTCTCAGAAAAAAAAATAATCTTTTTTCTTGTTTACCTTTTTGATTCTCTCTTTCCCATTGAGGAAAAATTGAGATTTAAAAGGGACCTTCTATTGAAGAGAGTATCCATCTCATTGATAGCTTTCCTGTACTAGAAACATGGAAGAAGATCAACAGGAACAAAACAACCAGTACGTTAAAGGTTAGAGGGCTTATTTCCCTCAATTCCCTCTTTTTCTTTTCCCATTTTTGACTAACATTGAAATCTCTAGGGTATCGCTCAAGATCGGTTTAATTGGAGATTCGCAGATTGGTAAGACGTCTCTAATGGTAAAATATGTTGAGGGTTCATTTGACGAGGATTATATACAAACGCTCGGTGTTAATTTCATGGACAAACGAATACAGATTAGAAACACAACAATAATGTTTTCGATATGGGACTTGGGCGGACAAAAGGAGTTTGTAAACATGTTGCCATTGGTTTCCAACGATGCTGTAGCTATACTATTTATGTTTGATTTGACTAGAAAATCTACTTTAAATTCAATAAAAGAGTGGTACCGACAAGTGCGAGGCTTCAACAAAACTGCTATTCCATTTTTGATAGGGACAAAGTATGATCAATTTATCGATCTTTCCTTTCAGGACCAAATTGAGATTACTCAGCAAGCAAAGAAATTTGCAAGTGCAATGAAAGCACCTGTGGTTTTTTGCTCCACGAGCCATTCAATCAATGTACAAAAAATTTTCAAAATCATCTTGTCAAAGGCATTCGACTTGAAGTTGAATTTAGATGAAATTGTGAATGTTGGAGAGCCTATATTGATATTCAAATGAGAAATAGAGCAAAGAAAAACACGCAATATAATGATTTTTTAATGACCCCGTTTAGTTCTACTCATCTACATATATTCAAATACAGTGAGCCCGTTCTTTTTTTTTTATTTTTATTTGAATTGGTATAATCGGGCATCATGATTTGTACTTCAAAGCGTTTAAGCTATTTGTTCAAATTGCTCTTTGCTCCCTTCTCTATCTCTTCTACTATACCAGCTTTAATTTTTATAATGTTTATTGCAACCACATTGCCAACTCCAATGTCTATCTCAATACTAATTTTTTTGATTCCTTAGCTTGTCTTACTTTTTTATTTTATTTTTTTTTTTCATTTTGGGAAGTTTTTCCGCGTGGAACTCTTAAAGTTCTTAACCAGGATGAGCAAGAAATCTAATGGTTGGGATTACATATTTGGCTCGGATTTAGGTCAAAGACAAGTCAATGATAATGATAATGAGGAGGATGAGCAGCAGCAGCAGCAGCAGCAGCGGCAGCGGCAGCGGGAGGAGGAGGGGGAGAAACAGGAGAAACACCAACATAGGCGTTCAAGCAGACGAAAAACTGACAAGTCAAATCAAATTATTCTAAGACGACAAAGTGATCAGTTTGAGGTAAAAGTAAGTGATACCATTCTAGTCAATTATGAAAATGAGACACTTTCTGCCTTGGTTAGGGACATTCGATTTGGCGCAAGTGAAATTCCTGAAGTTTTTGTTCTTTGGTTCAGTAATAAAGAAGAAGTCGAGGATACTTCCTCAGTTGAAATTTTGGAGAATGAAATATTTCTCACTCCTTACTTGGGAGAGGTTAAGTTGAATGATATAATTGCTGATGTCAAGGTATTATCGGAGCAAGAATTTAAGGAGATTGTGATTGATGAGTCAAACAGTCGGAAAACATTTATGTGTCGGAGAGCTACTAATGAAAAGGACAAATTTTCAAAGATATTCGATTACAATGATATTATTAAGCTTCTTCTCCTGAACCCAGATCGGTTTGTAGGTTTATTGAAGGAAATGCTCCTCAAACGAGACAATAAAGAGAATAGCTGTCTTGCAGTAAAGAAAAAGCCTTCAAAGTTGGAAAACAAACAGAATTTAGACTCGAGTAGTGATGAAGAGGCTTCAGTTGAAAGCGATGATGGATTTCTAATTGATAGTGATGAAGAGGCTTCTGTTGAAAGCGACAATGGATTTTTGATTGAAAGTGACAAAGATAGTGATATCTACAAAGAGAAAGCTGACAAAGGCAAATTATTATCTACGCCCAATAAAAGGCAGGCTTCAGCCAAACTGCCGTCTTCAAAGAAAACTATACCCCAACCTAAAGGAACGCCTAAAAAGTCAAGAGTAGACTCTAAAATTGAGGAGGTTTATTCTATATTGACTCCTCGAAAAAGAATGAGAGTAGCCACGGGACAAACTCCGTTGCCATTACTCACTTCTCCGACTAAACCCAAAGATCAACTTCATGATCCTAAATCGGAAGCTTTTACAGAGTTAAGAGCTAGGTTGCATACTTCGCAACGGTTACTGTCGCTTCCCGGTCGCGAGGATGAATTTATGTCTATCTGGGCTAATTTAGAAAGTGCTATCAATGAGGGTAGTGGGTGTTGCATATACGTTAGTGGAGTGCCTGGTATGGGGAAGACAGCTACAATCAAGGAAGTGATTCGTCAAATGTCCGAGCTAGCTGACACTGACACCGGAGAAATAGGCAAGTTTGATTTTCTTGAAATTAATGGACTAAAGCTATTATCACCGACGGTCGCGTATTGTATGCTCTGGGAGCAAATCACTGGAGGCGATCGCATAGTTGATGCCAATGCAGTGATATTACTAGAAGAATACTTTAAAAAAGAGGATACCTCAAGAAGGCCCTTGGTTGTGTTGATGGACGAACTCGATCAAATTGCCCAAGGAAAACTGAATGTTATGTATAATTTCTTCAACTGGCCAACTTACAGTACTTCCAAATTGATTGTTATTGCGGTTGCAAACACGATGGACTTGCCTGAACGAATGCTTTCAAATAAGGTCTCATCTAGAATGGGCTTGCGAAGAATACAATTTAAAGGTTACACTTTTGCACAACTAGGCGAGATCATCAAACGCCGGTTGGATGATCTTACCAAGAATAGCAAGTACAAGGTTATTGTTGGTGAAGATGCCATTGGCTTTGCCTCGAGGAAAGTTGCAAGTGTGAGCGGTGACGCTCGCCGAGTTTTAACGATTTGCAGGAGAGCAGCGGAAATAGCCGAAAAGCAGTACTTGGAGGAGCAAGTGGGGCAGCAGGAAGAGAATAGCGATACTTATCAAGTATCAATATCGCATATTTCCCAGGCGATAAACGAGAGTGTTAATTCACCATTGGCGCAGTATCTTACTGCTTTACCATTTGCATCAAAACTATTTTTGTCAGCGATGTTAAGGCGCATGAGGCGGAGCGGATTAGCTGAGAATTCCATTGGAGATTTAGCAGAAGAGATGAAAAATGCGATAGCCATGTCCGTTACCTCGAATCCTTTTAGAACAGACACTTCGATGCACGATTTGCTATATACCAACAAGGGAGGAGTTGGAAGCCAAATCAAGGTAAACTTGCGAATACACAACTTCGACTATATATTGAACTCATTGGTAGAGGCTGGTATAGTTAATCAGCAAAACACTTTAAGCGAAAGAAAGAGGTTGGTTTTGTTAAATGTGAGTGAAGAAGAATTGGTTTCAGTAATGAAGAGAGATCAAGAAGTGTCCCAGTATTTATAGTATTTGGTAGCGTTAAGACTATTAAGAAAATTTCAAAAAGGTGAAGGAATGCGCGAGATGCGTGAGATGCGCGAGATGCGAGATGCGAGATGAGCTTCTTCTCTTATTAGTAGAAAGAGAATTAAAGAGTTTACAATCTCTTTCTCTTTCTCTTTCTTTCTCTTTATCCATCCCCTCATTTTTTATTTTTTTTTGTAGATTTTCCAGATGACCTCGATAGATGCTTCAGAATATGTTGAGCTGGAAAATGGGACATTGAAGTTTGGAAATGAGGTACAGCAAGCCAAGTTTGAGCTCGGTGTTTGTATGGCAGTTTATAAATGGGAAGAATTGACAACTGCAGTTGAAAATTCATGGGGTGGACCTAAATCAGGCGAGAAAAGAGACTGGATCAGTTGTATCATTATAGACCTTTTCAGTGAATCAAAAATTGTAGACGTGCAACTAATAGAAGAGACATTATTGTACGCCATGTTGGATGAGTTTGACACACAAGTTGATAATGACTCAGCTTTGGAGATTGCTGCTTTGATAATGAAATTTTATAAAGAAGCTGCGAAAGGCGCGTATGATATGATTGATCAGTTTTATCAAGTTTGGCTTGAGAAAAAGAAAAACACTGTTTTAGAGAGTACGGCTGTTCATGTTGGGGAAGATTTAAATAATCCTGGAGTTTCAGATAGTGAAGAAGACGACGACGACGACAACGATGAGAGGGGAGACGACAATGAAAAGGATGACGAGTCTATGGAAGTAGACGATATAGCGGAGGTTCAAGATGTACAGCATGGCCCAGTAATAGATGAAGATGGCTTTAAATTGGTACAAAAGGGTAGAAGAAGAAGGTGACCTTGTTTTTTTCTTTTATTCTTTTTATACAAGGTGAATCATATATATATATATATATATAGATGTATATATTTATATTTTTATCTAATGACTTATTGAGTTTCCAGGTGTTGTATAGCTTCTAGTACGATTTAATGAATTTAGCGAATGCAAACTTGTAACCGAATTCCTGTAAGGTCTGCTTTCAAAATAAGACTCTTGCTCTTCAATTGGTGTACTAAGTCCCGATCCTGCTGGAGAAGTGTTACTCATATTGAGATCGCTGAGTCTCTTTGTTATATCACTCAAACTTCCTGGTGTACTGCTAGGTACTGCTTGGTGTGTGGCAACACCATTGCTCTTGCCAAAGTTTGCAAAAAAGCTATCATTTGAAATACTCTCAACTTTGAACAATCTAATACGTGTTCCTCCCCATATATTGATTGAGCTAAGAGCGTTGTCTATCCACTGTGAGGACTCCTCTTCAGTAGTAGCAGTGGTGGTGGTGGCAGTAGTGGTAGTAGAACATGATGACGATGATGAAGTGGTGGTAGCAGTAGTGATAGTAGTAGTAGAAGAAGAAGTAGCAACAGTATCAGTGTTATTATTATTATTATTATTATTAGTAGTAGTAGTAGTCTCATTCAGCTTCAAAAAACTTGTCAAGCCCGATGTGAGCTTGCTCACTGTTGCAATTGACTTTGCAAAGTTTTTAACAAACCTATTGTTATTTCCCACATACGTCTTGACCAGTGTCTCCGCGTTGTACACACTTCCAAGTAAAAGAGAAATATACCACCCAAGTGATAAATGACTCCAAAGAAATTTCAACTGCTCTAAGGGTGTTCCCGGTAACAAGTCATAGCTAATCTGGTTTTTGTGCTCGTCTATAATCTTGGAAAAGTCTGAGTTTTCAATGCGCTTGACAAGATCAAAACTGTCAATGCTCATTCCAGAGTCCCCAGGACAAACTTCCTTTACCACTGATTTCAAGTGAGGAAGAATAATAGTCAAAATCACAGTTAACGAGTCCTTTCCTGTCCATGATTTGCCAATTGGTATATCTTTTTTTTTCTTCTCGCGTGCTCTCTCGGTCATACCTGGAGGTTGTTGCGGTCTCAAAGAAGCTTCAATACTTTCAAGTTCTGATAAGCTTGGAATCACTGAGTTGTCAACATTTCGCGGAATCACCCGCTTCATTATCATCATCATGGGTGTCAGCAGCGGTGGCCTTGTAATAGAAATTGCATTTTGTGTACCCACTTCGGCAGCTTTCAGTGTGGTTTCTGCTTCAGTGCTTTCCTCAATCTTTGCAATTGTGTCACCCTTGACAAATACATTTTCAAAACTGAAAACTGTGTTCCATAGCTCGTTGTAAGTTTTTTCATTTTTCAACATGCAGAAAGAGAGCATTCTTGAAGAACGTGGATGCTTGATAATAGCTGCACAAATAGCCCGAACTATCAATGCAACCAAATGAAGATGTAGTGGTTTTTCAAGCAAAAAACTTTGATTAGAATAGCATCCAACAAGCTGTGTGATCAAAGATGAGGCGTGGTAAGATAGGCCACCATTTGGATTTGGATTGAGTAATTTTTTTTTCAGGTCATTGTGTACTTGTAACGGTTCTTTAGATACGGGCCCAATAAGATTATAAAGTATTTCAACTAGTGTATTCAATAAAGAGCTGGGTAACGGTTTGTATATGTATGAGGACTGCTGTAGCAGGGTGTTGTTTAAGAGGATTGTGCTTATTTGACTGACGAGAAAATCCCGCGTCGTCAATGGGGTGATTGAAAGTTTGTAATTTGAAGGTAAAGCGTCATAAAATGAAAAGCTCATTGGGTAAAATAAGCCCTTTATCATATCCAACTCGGAACTCAAGTATAGTAGGAAATAAGCACATATTTGAACCAAACTTTTGTGGGCATGCTGTTCGTGAAAAGCAAAAATGTAATATAGCAAAATCACCATAAGGTCGGCCAAAAATTTCTCACTGATCAATGCTTTGAAATGTTTGTTGCATTGAATCAATTCCCACATTAGAACTACAATCTCAAGGGCCCATAAGGATGGTCGGTTTACATTTTTGATTAGTGAAAGTGCTCCATTTTCAGACTCCTTGGATTTGACGAGTGGTGAACGCAAAATATGCATCGAAGAAAATGCCAAAAGACGTAGCTCATCTTCTTTTTGTATTCGGCCCATGTAATGTCTTGCCATATTGCGTGGTTTTAACTTTGAATCTAAGAATAAGTCAGAGCCGCTTGGAATTGGGTACAGGATCATCAAAGTCAACAATTGCAACGAGTAAGTAACGAGGAGGTGTCGTATCTCTGTAAAATTTGCTTTATCAAAATGCAATGCATTTTCTACTGGTGCGCTTCTTGAGGATCTGCATGTAATATTGGTCAACGACGAGACAAGAGTTAACAACGTCACTTTGGGTGTGTGTGAGACTAAGATTGTGAGAAATCTGCTTCCCTTAGAAATCACTTCTGAAGAAGACAAATAAAGGCTAGTTGAACATAAAACGATAATTAACTTTAGCACCTCAGCTCTGTTACTATCAATTGTTGGAATGGGAGCAGCATATTTTGCATTGTTGAGTCCGATGCCCGGCTCCCATAGACTAAAGCTTGTACCGCCCATATTTGAATAAGACACTGTAAAACCCTTTGTGAATAGTAAGCTAACCAAGCTCATCATTAAGAAAACAGCTAAACTGTTTTTCAGGTACAAGTGGTGGGATGAACCTGATTTATCACACAACGACCCTGTTTGAGTAATAAGCGTTGCCCATTTTGTTGGGGCTACATTTTCATCCCAAAACAAGGCATGTTCCACATCCAGAAAGTAGTTTTCCAACTCAAACAACGGAGGTAAGAGTTTAATTAGTAGTCTGATGCAATTGAGTATATGTTTGTCATCATCACCTTCTGTCCATACCTCCTGTCTAGACCGTCGTATTATTTCGTGACATAAAACTTGTACCAACGTAATATAATTCACTGCATTCTGTCGCTGAACTCGTCGTAACTCATTTAATGTGAGAATCTCGTTTATCTCCTGACAAGTTGATGGTAATTTCCAAAACTTGGACCAAAACTTTTCATCTTCATAAGCTATTACGCCGCCTTGTCCCAACTTGTTAAAGTAGTTCGAGAAGCACAACCTCGCTTCTGAATTCATATGGACATCGAATACACTCGCTTGCTCACTCGCTCACTCACTGACTCACACTCTTTTTATCTCTCACACCTTTGCTGGGGAAAAGTTGTATTAGTTTATGTAGTAGTATTCTTTTTTCTATTTTTTTTTTTTTCTCTCTTCCTCATCAAATAAATTTTCATGATGGAAAAGACCTATGATGTATGTAGAGGTAAAAATACTTTCCCTCATTCGAATGCGAAGCATTTGCATGAGCAGAGTCAGTGGAGTCGGTATTATTGGTCTCCTTTGCATGAGCAAGAGTCAGTGGAGTCGGTATTATTGGTCTCCTTTGCATGAGCAAGAGTCAGTATTGTGTGGATTTATTGGCTACATAGGTAGCATTCATACAAAACCAAAAACTTCATTAGATTTATCAGGCAAAGAAGTTGTTACACTAATGAAGAGATCTTTTTGGTAAAGTATATTTTTGATAAAACGGTTTTGTATGAATGAGTATTTATAGATTATTAGTCTCAATTGTTTGTCTCTCGAACTTTTAGTGTGTTCGGCTCCTTTTACTTATATTGCACAAATTTTCATCTTTTCCGTTCCGTTTTGCACCAACTATTGGGCCGAACCCAACATCAACACTCATACTTGCAACTAAATTATCGTCTGTAGTAGTATCATTGTTATCTTCGTCAAGATCATCAGCGTCTCCATTGTTCCCAATCACGGTTCCCGAGTCGTCTCCGCTGTTATTCAACCAATTAAGTGGTATCTCTATAGCAGGTGGGTTTTTGCTTAACCCTAAATTATCCTCATTCTCATCCTCATCCTCATTCTCATTCTCGCTACTTGAGTCCAGATGCATAGCGGAACAAATGGTCATGGCCTGGTAAATGGCACTTGCCTTCCCACTTAAGCTTTCAAAAAGCCGATTCGTATTACCGTTATTAACACTTTCTGTCAATTTAAGCTCAACAATACCCTCAACCAGCACCAGCAGGCTAGAGCTCAAGATATCGCAGTTTTCAACTTGTAAGTACAAGGAGAAGTCATTGTCCAATGCATGCAAATAGATTAATTGGTACGGTACTTCAACTCCTAGATTATCCGTATTCGACCAGATTATAAAGCTCGAGCTCAATACAAATATAGAAACATAGTTTGAGCTGAAACATCGTAGTGTTTCTTGATCACTATTCACAATCCTCAAAATGTATGATGCTGAACCACCGTATATGATGAATTTGTCATCGTCACGAGCGGCAAATTTCTCAGGATTCGATGCCTGGTAGGTGTAATACAATATGGTATTTTCGATATCGGGTTGTACATAAATCAACCGAATCGGCGGAGCCATCTCTGCTTGAAAAAAAAAAACAACCACGGCCTTGTTAATCAAAATAGAAATGAAAAAAAAAAAAAAAAATTGGCTTGATATTGAAAATGGATCAATTTGCACCCAATGTAAGTTGGAAGAAAAATATATCCAAGGGCAAATACCTAACAATTGCAAATCAACCTTGTTCCTTCCGGAGCATAAAGCCGCTATTACGCTGCCCTTATGAGCAGTGTACTAGGAGGGTGACCATTGACCAATACCAGGCCAATTCACAATCAATTTCACTTACATCAAAGAATGTGTTGATGAAAAGAAGAAGAAGAAAAAAAAAAAAAAAAAGTAAGGAGAAAAAACAAAAAAGAATCAACTAGATATCTATATCTTCATTATTCGATGCCTTCGCAAGAGGTTGGGTTACCTATTCCTAATATCCCCCATGCCGTTTCGGTGACGCTACCAACATGGGAAGCTAATATTGCTTATGAGGAAGGGGAGCACTGGGTCACGTCGAAAATGAGCTCTGGATACCCAAGATTTTACATCCATTCGTCTATTCGACAACTTTGTCGAAAGTTGGAAGCAAAATACGGTAGAGAAGGAGAAGAATGCTTGGTTTTCCCAAGCTACAAAGTTGCAAAGCGTTGTAGAGAGTTTTTGAAAAGTCATTTTGAAGGGAAAATTAGAATACTTCAATTGAGCACTCCTGAACCAGTTTCCGATTCAGACAAATCAATACAAGTAGGAGCGACTTTTGGGGTAGTGTTTTTTCCAAAGCTGTTGTTTCCATTGGCAAAGAGCTACTGGCAGCATTCGGGAGAGGTGGTTAGTTCGCGAATGGGAGAGTATATTTTGAAGTCGTTATTTACTGGGCCAAAAAGCAAGACAAAGCAAGAACTACAAGCTCAAAAAATACAATCGAGATCGCCGTCAATTAGAGCTTCCAGATCAAGTGCATCTGGTTGTTTCAATGACGATTTAGAAACAGAATTTGATACGTTTATTGAACAAAAGTTTGGACGAGTTTTGGATCTAAAATTCGCCAATGAAGCAAAAAGAGCTTTGCGCAGGCGTATTTGTGGGAAAGTGGACAAGAGTTGTAATCAAATTGAAGAGATTGAAAAGCTGAAAAGGGGGAAATACTTGAGCGAGTCAGATGTATACTTATTCCCTTCTGGTATGGCCTCCATATTCTATGCACATCATGCTCTTTTCAATATTTTACCAGCTGGAAAATCTGTTTGTTTTGGCTTTCCCTATGTGGATACTCTAAATATATTGAAAAAGTTTGGCCCCGGTGTTATTTTCCTTGGCTTGGGCGATGACTCGTCCTTATTGCAATTGGAAAAGGACTTAGAAGAAGGGTTGAAGATTATGGCATTGTTTTGTGAATGTCCTTCGAACCCGTTGTTGAAAACGCCCAATTTGAAGAAGATTAAAGAGTTGGGCGAAAAATATGATTTTGCTATAGTTGTTGACGAAACCGTGGGGAACTTTATAAATATCCACGTTTTGCCATATGCAGACATGGTTGCATCTTCACTAACCAAAGTCTTTTCTGGAGATTCAAACGTTTTGGCGGGGTCGTTAGTTTTAAATCCATTATCAAGATATTACGCCAAACTTAAAAAATTTTTCAACACAAATTATGAGGATTTGTTCTGGGATGAAGATGCGTTATGGTTAGAACGTAACTCAAGAGACTTTGTTGAACGTGTACACAAAGTCGACAATACCTCCGAGAAAGTTGTCAACTTACTTCTTTCTAATCCAAAAATCTCCAAGGTATATTACCCATCAGTTAGCCCATCAAGGCATCACTACGATATGATCAAGACCCAGGATGGCGGTTATGGTGGCTTGATTTCTTTTGTGTTTCACAAACCTAGTGATGCTATTAAGTTTTTCAACTCAGTAGACTTGTACAAGGGTCCTTCATTGGGAACTAATTTTTCATTAGCGTGTCCCTACTCTATTCTTGCTCATTATCAAGAATTGGATGAAATTGAGCAATGGGGAGTCGACCGCAATTTGATTAGAATCAGTATTGGATTAGAAGAGCCCGAGGATTTGTTACAAGTTTTAGAAAAGTCATTAGAACAATAAGAGAGAGAGAGAGAGAGAGAGAGAGAATAAATTAAACAAATAAAAGAAACCATTCATTACAAACTTTTTTTCAACCTGGGAATTTTATATGCTGGCAAGGTTCTGGGGGGTTTTCGGGAAAATCATAATTCAACTCTACTTGACCAACATACCAATAGTCGCGATGGTTGTGGAAAAATTTTTGCCAACTCTTGATATCTCTTTCACATTCCTCTGCGTCTAATCCTCGTAAATCATGCGTGTACTCGTCACTTTTGCGAAAACAGCCAGTAACATATACCCTCGCTGCATCTTTTCCAACTAGACTATGGTACGTTCCCTTTGGTCCGTAGATATCTCTATTAGAGCTTACATCGTATACACTGCCGTTTATTGCTAAGAGAATTTGGCCACCATCAGATCCGTCGTATTTGGCCAACTCCGATAATGTAAGCAGTAGTTTTGGTGAAAACTGATGCTTGAAAAATCTCCAGTTTATGTACTTCCCGTGATAACCCCAAGTTGTATCGGAAGTAAACCAGTACGACAAAAGTGCATTGAGGAGAAGAACTCCACCAAGCATTCGTACAACATCCAGTAAATTGAATCTATTCCTCATAACTTACATCTACAAAGGTTGAAAAAAAATGGAAAAAAAAAAAAAAAAAAAGAAAACAACTTAATACTACTAAAAATTTCTTTATACATATATATACATATATATTTTTCTTCAATATGGTTTTTCTTTTTCTCTTTTTATGTTTTCTATTACAATTACAAGTCTAGTTAAAAAATATTTCATCGTAAGCGTTATTACTATTGATAAAGTTCACATGGTCTGTATCTGTGCTGATCAAATTGCTCCAGAACTCGTCGTTTATCGTGTTGTATATGTTTTGCGAATCCATAGATATCAGCGGTAGCCTATAGTCTCTAAATTCATGTTCTTGAGGTGTGCTGTTCTTTGGCTGGTAGGGCAGATGGTATGCAGCTAGTGATAAAATGTCAAGCGGCTTTTCCACATTGCTGTTGAACGGTTTAAGGTTTTGAGGTGTAGAATTGTTTTTGAAAAGTAACTCTTCGATCTGGGTGGCATAAGTTTGCGTAAACAATTGCATCACTAAGCGCGTCTTTTTAAGCAAATGATTATCAGGATGCTGTAAGTGAGATTGTTCTACTAAGCGGCAAACTTTTTGAATGATAATTACCGCGTCTCGAGGTACTAGATCTTTGTCGATATGTGATGACAATGACATGATCAAATACCTCAATCTTAAAAGCATACCACCAGTGTACATCACACGCGAGCCAAAAGCTAATGGCATCTGTGCTACTTCATCGGACGATAGTTGCGTATACTCATTTAGCGCAGCTAGACATGAATTTGTACAATCTGAAATTGCCTTTACGGCTCTTGAGCTCAACAGAGAATCGTCGCGGTTAAACATGTTGGTAAAGTTTGGCTCGCATAGGTAAGCTTCTACCGAATGAAGGTAGGAAAGAAACACATGATCATCATTCTTTACTTTTTTCCTCAACTCCATCAACCTTTTTTGTAACTCAGATACTATGAACATTGAGGTTGATGGCCTTTTGTCATCCAATTCAGAGGAATGTGTGATATGGTGAATGTTTTCCAAAGCGGAATTGATCCTCGCAAAAAGTGCTAGCTTCCGATACTTTTCTTGCGACGAATTTTCGAGAATACGACAACACTCTTCAACATAGCTGGTCCATTTGATGTAGATGGACCTCCTCAAAATAAGACAAATGCTCACAGTATTGAAATAGATGATCAAAACCAATGAACGGTATTCTTCGCTTGTTTTTGGTTCTGCATCCTGTTTCAACGTTCCTTCAGTAAATGTATATGTAGGTCGAGAGACAATACCCAAATCATGCAATAACGACACGCAAATGGTATTCAACAAATGGTATCTGCGTTGTCTAAATAACTCCGGTGAATTGTAGTATAAGCTCAAGACTAAGATACTCTTGATAACTTCGACTGATTTAGTTCCCACAACCATTGCTTCATCGCATACCGACCGAATTGCCTCATTATCCAAAGCTAGAGCTTGATCTGGGTTAACGCCTGCTCTATTTACTGTGTTACTTACAGACATGATTGCGTTGAACAAGAATGGTTGCTGAATCCGAAACTGGTCCGCGCTCAAATGTACTGGAATTTCCACTAATGGGAGAAAAGACAAAATACGATCCCGGTATAGGTTTAATCGTACATCTGCTTCTGCTAATGTTAAAAAGCCTTTTGATACAACATCAGGAGGTATTGAGCTTCTCAACATTCTTGTTCTCCTATCAGCCAACAAGTTCAACTCATTTGTTACGTCAGTTAATTTTGACGAAGCCTCGCCCAAAATGGCAATCTCTTGCTCCAAGTCAAACTTGGATATAAATGGTGGGGAATCTGTACTCGAATCGGACTGGATACCCTGTTGTGAATAGGATTTTCTGTGTCTATGCATCAACTGTGTCTCCAACATTCGAATTCTCTGTTTCAAACTGGCGATTTCTTGATCTTTAGATAGTGGAATCTGGGGATCAAACTTGGGTGATGGTAATTGAGGGTGTATGTTTAAAAGAGGTGGTGGTGGTGGTGGAGGAGCTGGAACTGGTGGTGCAGATTGTACAGATGGTGCTGATGGACTATAACTCGCTGGATTCAAATTGCTTGGAATCGATGGTATTGTGGACAGCAGGGCGCGGGTCTGAACGAGCGGCATCGCTACTGGCGATGGAAGTGTTTGAGAAAAGCTTGCGGGCTTTTTCATCTTTTTTTCCACAACCGCATCCTTCATCTCCTTCTCCACCTCTTTCATCTCCTTCTCGGCCTCTTTCTTCTTTGCCTCTAAAATCTCTGCTTTTTTTCTCCTTTTTCTAGTTTGATTAAGATCGATTTCACATTTTCTGTTTGCGTTTAAACATCTTACACAAGAGGCACCAGGATCTTGTGGGTTTGAGGGAGTACACTTGACTTTCAACGAGTGGCAGCTCTTGCAAGCAACAGATCTACGTGTAATCTTTTGTCTTTTCTGTGATTGTTGGTCTGAATCAGTAGGCGAAAACTGCTCTTCATCCTCGTCATTTAATCCATACACCACTGTGTCTGCTTCTGTTGCATTGTTATGTTTATGCTTTGGTTTTGATCGTACTGAACTGGAATTAATTGGGCTAGATGTAAAATCACCAGAAGAATCACTCTTGACTACTACCGACATGTAAAAGAAAAACGGAAATAACAAGGGTGTGAGTTAGGCTAAAACGGGTGGTGGTGACAGAGTGAGGCGTAACGGAATGACACGGCTGATCTTTAACCAAGAAGCCTTCTTGAATGTAATAACGGCCAATTCGCGAAGAGAAAAAAGGAATGGAAATTTATAAAGCTTTTTTACTCCTCAATATTTCGGAAAAAGAAGACAAACAATAGAAAAAGATACAATAGAAGTGAAAGAGCAATGTTTGTCCCCCCTCACCCCCTCCTCCAGGCTTAGTTTCAATTATGACATTTGCATCCTTACTCTCAATATAAGGTAACGATATCAATAAATGACCTTTCCTTGTATGACAGAAGCCTTCTATCTTTGCCTTTCTAGTCCTCTTTTTGATGGAAAAAAAAAAAGAAAGAAAAAAAAGGGGAGGGGGAAAGAAGTTTATTAAGATGCAAGATAATGTGTAACTCACTTACGAGAATAATTCTGGAGACATTTGTGACACTGTTGTAGGAAAAGATCGACAACTTTCTTTTTAAACAGCTTCTCGTATTATATTTACTATACAAAATACTTCATTTTGTCTAAAAAAGCTTAATATTGACATATTTAGGTAAGTTTCATTCTTTCATTCTTTCTTTTTTTTTTTTTTTTTTTTTTTTTTTTTTTTTTTTTTTTTTTTTTTTTTTTTTTAAGTTTTTAGTTCCTCGTTAACTTCTCTTCCAACCAGTTTTCAAATGCTCATTCAAGTCAAATTTTGGGAATGGGTGTGCCTCTGTGTTGAAGACATACTGATCCAATGGGACCTTGTTTGTATCGTCAAATAAGAGGTACAAATATTTCAACGTCTCAGCGAACCAAAAACTCTCCGTATTATCTCGAAGTTTTGGCAGTCCCTCATTATCAAGCAGAGTGACATCTTGTAACGAAGCAAATGAAATATCACCGTTTTTATTAACAATTTTGGCGTATTTCATAAAGCTCTGGAAAATCTCGTAGCCCCATTTCCTGTATTTCAAGTCACCTGTCAACCTATATAAGTAAAATATGGATTCAACTGTTTCAGGTCGCATCAAATTATGGGTATCGGCTTTTTTGATTGTAAAATCTCTCTCTATCAGCTCATCCTCATTAAACACAACAATCTCAGGTGATAGTCCCAATTCTGTTTCTTTGTACATCATATAACAAGTTTTGGTTAATTCTTCTCCAAATTCAAAATCCTCCTCTCTCTTTTTATTCCACCACTCTTTCTCTTTTGCCTTGCTTAATGGTAATCCATTTGTGGCGCCAACTGCTAAAGTTCCACCAAGGAAACAGACAAGGTGGTCCATCTTGGAGCTAAACACTCCTCGATCTAGTTCCCCTATAAACCACAAGCCGTTGGGGTACGATTTTCTCAACAATTTCAGTCTTATTCCATCTATTGCCTCGCGATACATGTCATAATATACTGTTTCCTTTTCCTTAGTCTGCAAATACTGTTTCACAAGATATTCATAATACGAGTCGCCTCTACTGCCCAATCTGATCAAACTACCTTGAAATTTACCAGTATCGGTACTAACGTAAATTGGAACCAACCCATCTTTTGGCTTATTACTTTCCAAAACCTTCATAACCTTTTCGGAGATTTTCCACCAATCAACTTCACCGGTCAATTTTGCCAAATATCTTAACTCTAACTGAACAGTGGCTGCTTCGGCAGTAGACGATGCCCCATTATCAACGTGATTTTTGATTCCTACCCCGGTTTTTAAGTTGACTGAGGAGTACGGGATGCCCGATGGAGTGTCATATGCTCCATGTAAGGAATTTGCAAGGCCGACTGCTTTGTCCAAGTACAAATCTTCACCGCTCAAATGGAAAGCTGATAGCAAACCGCCCAACATTCGAATGGTTGTCTCAAAGTTGTTGACATAGTAGTCAAATTTATAGTTTAAGTCATTTTTGATCCATTTTTGCGCTCTCTCCACCTCCTCTTGACATCCCATAATCATCAAGGTATCAATTGAGTCTACAATCATCCAGCCTAGTGGTTTTGGTCCCATATTCTCGCCTCTCTCCAGTAATGGGTGGTAGACATCAGTGCCCCAGCCGTACTTCTCATATGTGTGCCACGAATCTAACGTAGCCTTGCGAACCTCCTGTTGAGCTGCTTTCCAATCAATTTCATTGCTGAGGATTTGAAATTTGGGGGAAAACTCACGAGAAACCAAAAAGTACAAAATATATAGAGCCACCAGGAATATGAACCCCTTTAATAACATCACTTTCCGTTTTTGTTTATTATTCAGGGGTGTAAATGGTGCTTTGTTTTTGTAAAAAAGCGGTAATGACTTGCTCGTGGGCTTGTCTTTGAAAGTGTTCCCCAAGGTAACCTTTTCAAAGTTAAAAGACATTGAGAAATCAATCAAGAGACTACAATCTTACATTCTTATTTTCTTTTCCTACCATCTTTTTTTTTTTTTTTTTTTCATCTTCTGGTTAATGGAAACGGTAGCGGAGGGGAAAGTCTTGGAAGTAAAGTGTCTGGAAGTAAAGAGTCCAGAAGCAAAGTGTCTGGAAGTAAAGAGTCCAGAGGCAAAGATTCCAGAGGCAAAGAGCTTCTGCGTGTAAAGAGTCTTTATAAGAACCTCGGTTTGCACGGCGCTATTGACCTTCTTTAGTCCATACCTGACTTTTGCTCCAGATAAACAAGTATTACATCTTGATTGCGTTGTGGTTATTGATCTTTTTTTTTTCTGTTGAAAAATGCCTTACGTCATTTACCATGCAATAAGCGTAAGAAAAAAATAAAAATAAAAAAAAAAAAGAATTAAAAAGATTCACTGTTTGAATTGAATAAAGTATATTAGCCTTTGTTGATCTACGAACAATGTCAGAAGTATGTATTTGTGAACTATTTCCTTGTGTTAATTGTAATTTTACTAACAATTTTTTTTTCTTTTGGTTAGAGATCTAAGTTTGATCTTGAACCGAATCCATTTGAGAGATCATTTGCTTCAAAAGAGTCCTCATTATCTATTGGTAATCAGTCTAGTATAGATTCGGATTCGCTAAGACACAGTTTTGGACCATCCAACAAACATGTGCACCCTGAACATCATCATCATCATCATCACTTGCCATTGGCACATCAACAGTCTACGAAATTACCAGGGATAACGCCTCCACTATTTACGCCTGGTGGAAGAAGATTACCACCAGTTGAACAGATTTCCAACCCCGTAACACCGACTACAAACCTTTGGAATAGTTTACTAACAGCATCTAGTAACCACCATGCACCCTCCGGTCCAGCTCAGGCTCCAACACATTCGCATCCTCCTCCTCCTCCTCCTCCTTCTTCAGTACAGAATGGACAGTTTGCACAGCAAAACTATAACCAATTTATGTCATCAGTAAGAAAAACGGGGTTGACTCCGAATGAATCAAATTTGAGAACAGGACTTACACCTGGAGGATTTTCTAATTTTGGGTTTGGAGGGCAAGTGGTTGTGCCTGGGTTATCTACGCCGGGTGCATTACTCAATGGATCTATAACCCCGGGATTGTCGAATCTTTTGGGAATGAATGGGGTCATTGGGAATATGGTACATCAAGTACAGGAAGAACAAGTACCTAATATAGTCCAGGAACCTAATATCACCCAGCAACAATCTGAAACACTGAAATCTTTTGAAAAAAACGAGCCTAGTCAGGTTCCGTCTCTTGAAAAAGAAGCCACAGACGAGAAATTGAAAAAGAACGAGGACCAAAAAGAGGACCAAAAAGAGGAGGAGGAGGAGGAGGATCAAAAGGAGAAGGAGGTGCAAAATGAAGCTGAATCTGAGACGGTGGGTGCATCTTTAAAAAGGAGGAGAGCTTCGGCTAAAACAACATTAGCAGATAGGAAAAAAAGCAAGAAGAAAAAAAAGGAGACTGACAAAAAGGAGACTGACAAAGCTTTTGACGAGGATAAGAGAAAGAGTTTTCTTGAAAGAAACAGAGTTGCGGCATCAAAATGTCGACAGCGGAAGAAACAGTTGTTACAAAAGATGGAGGATGAATTGGCATTTTATTCCAATGGATACCGTGAGTATAGTGCCCAAGTAACTCAATTACGAGCGCAATTACTAAAATTGAAAACTATTTTATCGGTACACAAAAATTGTCCAGAGCTTATTCAATATATGGGAGGGCGAGAAAATTTAGAAAAATTGTTAAACGAAGCTACATTAACTACGGAGGTGACGGTTGAAGCACAAAATAATATGACATCAATACCATCTACGATACCAACAACCTTGAACATCGAGCAGTGATTGAAATCAAAACGAGCTTGTAACTTTAATAGACTTTTATATATATATATATATATACAGAAAAAGAAGATTCTTTTAAACTTCTGTCTCTGTGTTTTACGAATCTGGAGTTAGATTAACCGAATGGGAAATTTGTAAACACATCAGACCAGGTTTAATTTAAGGTACACGAGAAAAAAACAAAAAAAAAACTAAGAATAAAATAAAACAATATAATGAAGTTAGAGGTGACCAATCAATTTGATTAAATAACAGTGACTCTTTATCAAGTGAGAGAGGCAAAACCTGTGCGTGTGTGTGTTGTAAAGATGGTCAGCAAGTCAGTTGCAAAGATCCAACTACCGAGTCTTCCGGATCATGACACGTCTATGGGAACTAGACTTCATCAGAATCAGTTCTCTAGAGCAAATCTTAAATCTGTTCTTCATATACTTACCCAGGAACTTAAAAAAAATGGCACAAGAACTCCCCACATTTTCCTACCTTTCCGATCTAAAATCAGTGATAACAAGTTGAACGACTTTTTATCAACAATAACCAAGGACGGAGCTCTACGAGACACTTTGTTTCTAAAGGATATTTGCTCCAAAACAGACGAGTTTACACTCATTTGTTGTTTGAAATATTTTTGGGCACGACTTCCAAACCACGAGATTATAGGAATCGACGTGTACAATGAGTTCAAGAGAAGAGAAGCCGAACGCAATTATCCGAAAAATGCATTTCTAACAATAATGCCTAAATGTTTGTCCTCGCCGGCACATGCATCGATTGTATATGATTTTTTGGACTTGATCTTGAGTATCATATCGAATTCAAAGTATAATTATTTAAGTGGAAGAAAGATTAGCAAAATGGCGAGTTTTTGGGCATTCAATAGTCGCCGGCCGCATGGAGGAAAAGGAAAAGAAAAAGAAGAAGAAGAAGAAGAAGAAGAAATTGGTTTCATTGAGGGCATGGAAAACTGGAGAAAGTATACAATGCCCTTGTTCCATTTGATTTTATCATTCCTACGCTCTATGTTACCCGAGAGCGACTCTGAAACTTTGAAACTACCTAAAGCATTAAGAAGGTTATTAGTGGCTACGCAGTACCCACCTAATGATGACAATGAAAGCTTGGGAAACCTGATCAATGTGCCTTGTATTTGCATTGCCACAACCCAACCATCTTTAAACCCGTATGATTTGATAAGTAAAGTGAGACAAAGTCAGTCGTTTACTCGAAAGGACATGTTTTCAAAAGAAAATTATGCAATTTATAAGCATGTTTTTGCAAAGAAAAGTACTAGTGAGGCGGTGGACACTTTTACCGAGGAATCAAAAAGGGTGCTTTCGAGATTAACTGCGCAAGAGTCACCAAATAAGCATAATTTGAAGCCTGGCTGGGCAATACCATCTGTTGGAAATGTGGAGCTACCACTGTTTACTCAAATAACCATCAAAGATGTCTCGCTTCAGGATTACTTTATCTGGACCTGGTTGTCCTCGCTTTCTAGCGACCAGCCCGAACTGGTGAAAAAGTCATTTGGTAGATCCTTAATTGTTGAAGCAGATGTGATGGGGTTCAAAAAATGGATTGTACTAACCGAAGAACGAATAGATCCAGAAAGTTTCGTAACATTGTCAGAAAAGCAGAAAAAGTTGCGGTACAATCTAAATAAGAAAATACTTATTGATGAATATAAAAATATGCCACTACCTCCACTTCCAACTGAACGTATGGAGGAGCAGAATACCACAAGTGCAGTCTCGAGTCTACTTGAAAATTCAAAAGAAACTTTTAAAAATTTTGAGAGGCTGATACTGCTGCTTGATGGTGATGATGAAGTGAAAGAGGAAGAGGAGAAGGAAGTGGAAGAGGAGAAGGAAGAGAAAGAGAAAGAGAAAGAGAAAGAGAAAGAGAAAGAGAAAGAGAAAGAGGAAAAGGAAGAGCTATATTTTCAAAATAAACAGTTGAAATTCGAACCAAAAAGGGATATCCCAAATTTGAGCTTGAGGTTTACAAAAGTAACGCTAGGAGATATGCATGCGCCAGTAAAACCCACCACTCCTGGAAGAAAAGCTCCGCCTTTTGACTCATGCAAGATGCTTCCCAATTTGAAAGCTAGATCTGTTGTTGAGGAAGAAAATCTGCAAAAGGAAGCAAGCATCAATACCAACAAAAAAACACCAAAACTACCATTTCTGGAAGGTAATTTTCATAGTGATGATCACAACAATAACGCTGCATCAGAGGAGAAACAACGCCAGAGGAAGGCAAAGAAATTTCAGAAGCATGCAGAAGCTGCTCAGTTGGCTGCTGCTCAAGCTGCAGGATTCCAATTTGCAATGTTGCCTAATACCATTGCTCCACCATCTATTACTTTATCCAATAATTCTCAATTGAATAAGAATACCTCACCCCACCTAGTTAAATCTATGCTCCTACCCGATCCAGCAATAGTGCCTCCAAACTCATCCCCTATCAAAGAGCAACGGTCACCCAAGAAATCCCCAGCTCGTATTAACGAATCTGATTTTCCACAGGTGGAGTTAGACAAGACTCCGAACACAAATAGTGTGGTTGTTGACTTTGCTCCTCAAGATAATATGGAAAACTCTTCACATTTCAGCTCCGTATCCTCAATATCACATCAACATCTGCCGCCAGTCTCGATTCAAAAGGACCATAGCAAAACATACATTTACGACTCACACTCGCCTAATACCTCACCTTCTTCGAGAAATCGTAGTAGCTATGAAACACAAGTGACAAAGGCTTCGTCGCAAGACAGTCAAGATACGCATATACTGGTGCATGAAAATGGGAAAGCAGAAAAGGTGAAAAGCCCAGGGAAAGATGTAACTCCCAATACGCGCGAGCAACAGGCAACTCAACTGCTTATGCATGGGCAACCTATATACCAACAGCAACAACCAATATACCAACAACAACAACCAATGTACCAACAGCAACAACCAATGTACCAACAGCAACAACCAATGTACCAACAACCAATATACCAACAACCAATATACCAGTATCACCCAAGTCTCCACCCCCACCAGGGACCAATACATCTACAGCCGGCACCAACTCTTCAGCCTAATACTCACTTACGTACGCAAGGCATGCTGCCTGTACAGCAGCAATACAAGCATGCTAATCAATTTGGTTCACCTATAAACATGGTCCCCGTTGGTTTCAAGCACGACAAGAACAAGGCCGTTAATAAGGCGAACTTACGGGAGGCATTTGCTAAAGGCGATTATGGCATATAATTGGTATGTGAATAAATAATTGTAAAAATATATATATATAAATAAATAAATAATTTGATAAAAAAAAAAAGGGTAGGGGGGGGGCATAAAGCTCAGTATTCACTAAGTCTCAATTTCTTATCAATGTCACGTAGGCTGAAGCCTGAGATTCCACGATTCAAAAGTGGTGGTTCAGGTGATTGTCCTCTACTCTTGATATCCTCTTCACCAACATCAAAGTAGCCGTATCCACCAAGCAAAGTAGTCAAATTCTTACTGCTCTTTTCAAATTTAACTGGTGGTGTTTGAAAACTCAACTTTGTTTTCCTTTGCAATTCGACTTGGTTCCATATTTCAAAAATTTCCTGGAGATACGAGTTCAAAGTGACCAAAAATCTTTGAGTTTGTCTGTGCTTTGACCCGACACAAAATGAAATGGAATCATCTTTAATGATGTAGCCAATACCAAACCCATTTGGACATACCGGTCCAAATCCAAAAAGACGCAACGCTGGGTTTCCACAGTTCGAGGTGGATATGATTGTGTTATTGATTCTGTCCCACCCTGGATCGGCGAAAATTGAAGGCAAATCTTCAATGGAATCGGGTATCTCAAAGTTGAACTCGTTGTTATTACTACTACTCTTGGCAGTACCGTTTATTTCATGGAGACTCATTAATCTTTTCCATAAGCAAAACAAGGCATACAAATGACGATCAACGCCTTCTCCATTTGAACACATTCTAGTTTGATTTGAGTGTGATTTGCATGCTTGATTGAGATATCCCAACTTATCTTCATTTGAAACAGTTTGGTCAAAGAATTTACGAACAAACATATTTGATTCTAATGACACAGTACGTATTGCCTCTGTTCTACCATGAAAGAAATGCTTGGTCATTGCTGGTTCATACGTACATTCCACTTTACCATACAATGCATAGTAAGTTGCCTGGAAAGCCATTTGCACAAATGCATCTGGACTAAGTTTCATCTTTTTGATCTGAGTCGACCCATATGATCTAAATTCCAAATGACGAATTTCGTTTTGGTTGATCAAGTCTGATAATCTTGTTTCAGCAAATCGCAAGGCAAGTGACAAATCTGGAGTCAAGTCCCACTCCAATTTTCTTGGAATTGTGATCAAATCTTCCTCGTATTCTTCAGTTTCTTGTGACGACGACTTGGTATTGTTTTTCCATAATGTTGGCGCATGACTATCAATAGATTGCGCAAAGGACAAGATTGAATCAGTGTAAATGTCAGAGACAAAACGAAGAACAGTGTGACCATCAACGCCTGTGTGTTCAAAATTGATACCGGCCTTACCGTTCTTGGTAACGATAATTTGCAATTTGTCATACCATCTGTTTGTACAAGTTCCAACTTGTATACCCTTGTCCAAAATGGATAAACCACAAAGCATATTTTTGGATAGTTGAGATAAGTCATCAATCTCGATATCATCAAGACATAAGATGAATAGTGCTGAGTCGACAATGGACAACACTTCTTTATTGATTGTATTTTCAGCAATAATATTGTTACGAACGTTAGCCCAGATTCTTCTGTTCTCAGTTGTCAAAACACCAAACGAAGATTTGGCGATGTCGTTATTTGATGTACGCAAGGAGTCAAAAACTATTGAGTGAAAGTTTATATCCAACTCTGCGTCGGTCAAAATCAAATTATTTTTTGAGTCCAAAACATCAAACCAGTAAAGCTGAGATTTGGACATAACAACAATGTGGTTCGAAGTAGGGTCTGATTGCATCATGCACCCTTCATCTGTGGGAATCCTAGAGGATCCAAATAATTTTGTGAACTGATACATACACAATGGCTTACCGTTTTTCAAAACATCAACGCTCAACGTTTCATTCTTGAGTGCTTGAATAAATTTTAATGAAGACAATGTAAGCTTGGTGGCTCTTTTAATCTGAGGATCAATCGAACTTGATACATATTGAGTAAAAGGATCGTCTTCCAATAAAAAGAACGGATTGAGATTAAGAACCACTGGTGAGTCATAGTTCAAATAAGCATCATACCAAAACTGTTCAATATAACTAGGCTTATCCGCTGCATATTTGCGCAAACAATCATCCAAGTACCTTCCTATACCATCCTCTGAATAAAACGCCCTAACAGCCGCCTCAGTGTTTTTGCGTTCTTGTTCAGTTTGTAATGGTCTCAAGACTTTTAAGTAGGTCTCGCATGTCTTGTCCAAGTCTGGGATTGGTAGTTTCTTTAGTTGGTCCTGAAACTGGAAAGTCATTTGTCTTGTAGGAGAAGGGTGGGGGGGGAGAAGGAGATGGTTTAATTTTATTGGATATCATTCTCGGAGTTTTTTATTTTTTTTTTTTTGAAAAATTTATGGGGTAAAATGCTACCAGTTGTATCGTCCCACAAAGACCCCACAATTCTCGGTGCTGCGGGATGTGGAATCGGAATCTCGGAATCTCGGAATCGGAGCTTACCGAGAAAGAAGGCGGTCCAGTTAAGGGCCAGAGAGGAGCTAAAGAGAGTGAGTAAGTGCGGCTCTTATACAGGGTTTAATTCTATATTAATGCAAAAAAATTCTATACTCTAATAACCATCAGCTTGACCTCGTTTTCTCCAGTAATCACTAACCCCATTTAATGAGTCATCTTTTAACCTCTTGACCCCATTCATTGCTGTTAAAGACCCGGTTTCTAAAAACGTGTGCCCCTTCGACATTAGTTTGGCAACCACTCCAGAATATTCCTTGTCTAAGGTTGTTAGGTTTTCGCACATGACACCCTCGGGTATTAGCTGATGGTGCAATCTTGGAAAGGCAATAGTGTCTAACAAATTGAAACTCTTATAGTAGATCCTCACTATCGCTTGAAGAACAGTATTTGTGATACGACTGCCACCAGCAGCTCCAATCACGAAATCGGTCCTATTGTTATGTACGATGATTGTAGGTGCGCTCGAAGATAATGGTCGTTTTCCGGGGTAAATGAAATTGTATATCGACGGAGTAAGGTTAAATGCATTGCTTATATTTGGCTGCGAAAAGTCATCCATTTCATTGTTTAAGATTATACCAGTACTCTTGTCGTAAACCATTGATCCAAAAAGTAGATTCACTGTGGTTGTCATAGACACGGAGTTATCATTCTCGTCAACGATTGAAAAATGTGAAGTACCTTGAGGCTCAACCATTTCGTACTTTGGTTTGTAATGGTGCCAAGAAAAAGTCGTGGAATCTGAATAAATGCTATTGATTTTAAGCCATTTTGAGCTAGAGTATTTTCGAATGACTTTTGATCTATCAACGTAATCGCCGAGTCTTGTTCTTACTGAACTTGCCCATTTGTAACTCTCAATCAACTTGTGATTAAATAATGTATCACTATCCGATGTCTTGAATACCTTGTTGAAGAAGTTCAATCCTGCAATTAAAGATAGGCCAGATGAAACTCCATTACTGGTATACACTTTATACTCACCAATTTCAGTCTTGAGCGGTTGCTCAACAACGACTTGGTAATTTTCGAAATCCGCTTTGGTTATGATTCCGCCCCATTTGAATATCGTATCAACTAAAGATGTAACAATTGGTCCATCTGGATCGTAAAATATTGCACTGCTCCCATTTTTGGCTATCAACTCCAATGTCTTTGCATAGTTTGGTCTTTGTATAAGATCTCCTTCCTTAACCAACCCATTTTCATTGAAGATGAAATCCCACGTTTTCCTAAGCAGCGGCACTTTTGATAATACCAACTGGTACTCAATATCAACCACTTTTTCAAACACTTTGGAGCATCTCCACCCATTTCTATTCAATTCGACTACTGGTTCAATCAACTCATTCCACGACAAATTCCCACTACCGTGAAGCCTATATAACTCATCAAGACCTTTAAGTTCTCCTGGTACAGCCACACTCAATCCACCTATCTTGCTAAGTATAAAAGAGCCATTGTACATCTCTTTGAATGCCATCTGTGGTGCTGTCTCTCTTGCATCAATGCTCACCACCTCTTTTTCTTCTTCCCCTCCTTTTCTGCTCAAGATAAAGCCACCTCCACCAATTCCCGAACTATGGGCATTGACAGAACCAATACATAGAGCAACAGTGACTGCAGCGTCTGCCGCATTGCCTCCTCTAAGCAAAATGTCCTTCCCCATAGTAGAGCATAATGGGACATCACTTGCAATCATTGCTTTTGAACCACGGTGCAAATGTTCTTCTGAAGGGTTCAAATCCGGTTGCCCTATATTGTCATGTAGAGGGTCATATTGGAGGTTTAATGTGTAGTATGGGTCTGCTCTAGTTATATTGTCGAAATTGTGTGATGTGATCAGTAGTGGTGCTGGTGCTACTGGGACTGGTGGTGGAGCTATTGCCCTTAGTCTGAGCAACGTTGACACGCAAAAGATTAGGGGGAAAACTATGAAGCTGAACCTAGTTAGCCCTCGTCTGTACGTCTTTTGACTTGGTTCCTTCATGTTAAAGAGAAATGCCTTTCATTTAAGTAGATAGCAAATATAAACTTCAGATACCTTATCTATAAAAGGGAAAAAAAAAAAAAAAAAAAAGAATAGTAGTAGTATAAGAATAACAATGCCATACAATTATTTGCTTTTATAAAAGCGGGCTACTCTCTTCATTAACGTCTTGCCTATTCTCTCTGACAATGTGGTCTATTGTACTTCTCTCTAATTCATCTGCCTCTGATATACCAAAAGTGTTTTTCCCACAAAAATACTCATAGTAGATACAAAGTGTCAATAATGTACCTTGTAAAATCGCAGCAACCAAATAGCTCACATATGAGCTCCAATGTGACCCTTTTGTAAACATGAGTGTAGCTGCAAACACGAACCCACCAGGGGTCTGTATACACATCATTCCAATCGATAAAGTACCAGGGTGTTTCAAATGGTAGGTTGTATTGATTTGTGGTACGTACTTGACAATTGTGAGTGCCGCAGAAAGCAATCCATTTACATTTGCTATTGAATAAAGTGCTGATGTGCCTGGCATGTTGTATCCCATAAGGATCTCGATCACGGAAATGATTCCGTGACAAAGAACAACTTTCCCTACAAAAACAATTTTTGCGTACTCCTGGCGGTCTTGTTTGATGGAAGAATTGGTCAAGATTAACACTAGCACTAGAATTAGTATGGCACACACACATTGAATGGTTATCTGAAATAGATTAAGCTGGGAGTTTATACAGTTGAAAGTATTTAGAGCCCCAATGTAGCAGCATTTCCTGGCCCGCGAGCTTATCAATATGATATTTGTCAAAGTGAATATCGATGAACATGACCCAAGAAGTAAGAAATTCGTAGATAACCCTTCAGAGGTCCGTTTAAGGTATATTCGTCTATATTGTGGGATATAGCTTATAATGATTCCCATTGAAATGAGAATCGAAAAGACGAAGTTGACGGTAGAGGCTCCTTCGTATATGGAGCAGTTGAGACTGTCATCAGGGGGCACAACCATTATCAGTGGGAGAGAGAGAGGTGGGGGGGTAAAATGATGGTGGTGGTGGGGGGCAGAGACAATTAAAATAAACGGAATTTTTTCTGCGCGTTGATATACACAAGTTTTTTGATTAATTGATAAACCAATGTCCAGCTGGGTGATCAGGGCTACGAAAAGAACAGACAATGAAGTGGTTCCAGGATCATCTAGATACGTGGCGACCGAATTGGATTACCAGCTTACTGAAACAGCGTTTCAGATTGGTGAGCATTATGGGGAATTGTATCACCAGCTTGATCGACTTGGTTCGATGACAAGGGATATATTGAATGGCACCTTCCATTTGGAAGACGGTGATGCCACAGCTAAGCAAATGAATGAAACTGGAAAGCAAAGTAAACGATTGAAGAAGGTCCCTCGAGATGAGCTGGAAACACTGAACCTACCGCGTACAGGGCCTATCCTTGAAAAGCCTATCCTTGAAAAGCCAATACTTGAAAAGCCAATCCTTAAAAAGCCTATACTTGAAAAGCCAATCCTTGAAAAACCTATACTTGAAAAGCCAATCCTTGAAAAACCTATACTACCGCATGCGGAGCCTATTCTACCACTTTGTGAAAGTATTCCTGAGAAAGTACTTCCGTTTGTTACACCAAAAACTCCAGCCAAAGTGCTGATCAATCTAGATAACTCCTTCGAGGCTATAAGTACTGCAATTCGGAAGAGCACTGCGCTCAGAAATCGACTCGCTGTGAACCCCGAAGTGATAGCCAAGACACCCAATACGCGCAGTTCGATTTTTGTTTCCTTCCCGCATAGAGAATCATTACTTTCAAGGCATAGCAAAGTCGCGTCAGATATTCATGGGTCAGGAAACAAAGCGTTTCCTTCATCAAAAGACGAAAGTAGTACTGATTTAGATCGAAATGTTGACGTTGACCTATCTTATAAAGAGCAAGTTAGCATTCAATCGAGTCCTGAAAAGCTACAACTATTCACTAGTAATGCTCCGTCGAGAAATATCACCACCGATTTGCAGCCCACGATAACTGCGTGGGAGAAAATAATAACGTTGAGATCCTTATCTCCAAAGCGACTGACATTGCTGCCAAAAAGGTCTCCTATAAGGCTGTCTCGATCACGTAGCCGATCTCCCATAAGAATCAAGGATAGTCCGTTGAAATCGCCTCATAATCAGAGCTTATACAGAACTAAATCAGAAGCAATACTTGAAAGATTGACATCTCCAACTGCATCCACGGCGGCAAAGAGTGTAAAGAAAGTTGAGAAGAAGATCCAGGGAAACCGATTCCTAACTACATCGCTTCAACGGAAAAGGGACGACGACTCTAGGGCCAACTATCAACGGCTAGCCGAACCAGTTGTACCTAAGCACAAGTATCCGCTTCCGAATAGCACAAAGAAGTCAATGATGGAAAAGAGAAGCGAGGCTGCAGCATTGAAACAGAGGCAGAAGATAGTAGTAAAAGTTAGGGAGGCTAGTCAGGTACGAGGAAGGTCTCTCCCTGTAACACATACTCCACAAAAAGTGACTCCAGAGCACCTACCTTTTATTCCATCGGACGATGATAAAGATGGGTACAGTAGAGTTGTTAAGCCATGGGGAAACTCTCCTGAGATTCGGAAACTTGTTGACGCAGGAAACAATGCAGATCCATCAAAGATTTTTCCTTCACGACCAGGAGTCGATTTGTCTAAGGTGTTTAATAAAACGTATAAACAATCACCTATGCAAGAAAGGTGAATAAGAGAGGCTCTAACTGTTACGACTATTTAGTGCGGTCTCCTTGTTCCACTTTGATACCCAGCTTGATTCATCTTGTTTGGGAACGACGTACAACTTTAAAGCATTGTCAAATAAAGGGGCTTTCTTTAAGGCTTGGTTAAGTTCAATTTTCTTTCCAACTTTCACCAATCCTCCTGCTGCGGTTTCCATAAAACAGTCCAAAGTTTTGACGTGAAAATTCTTGTGTTTTTCGTCAAACCATTCCTTGGGCCGGTTAAGGATTATTTCCAAGATTTCCAAGGGAGTAGAGAGTTCACTGATTTCAGCAATATAGTCAAACTCGTCTATTGTCGGGTACAAGATTAATGCAGGAAAGATCAATTGAGATTGGTAATCAGCAGGGTCTTCAAGGCGCACCGTTGCTTGCTTTAGCATCTCCAACGGATTTTTTGTCGTTACTATCTCAATTTGCCTTAGCTTAAGACTATTTTGTAATACTACTTGTTGCAATTGTTTTTCCTCCTTCCGTTTTTGTTCCAATTCTTTCAACTTGGTAATCTCTTTTTCCTTTGTCTCTACTTGGTCTAGCAAGTTTCTCAAGCTTTGTTCATTTTCTGCCACTTTCAACCCATAAGATAGTAATAACTTTGCCTCCTCGTAGTTTGCAAGAAGGAATAATGCCTTTCCTGCCCGATAAATCGCCTTTATAGACAGGGCATCCATAGAAAGTACTTTTTTGCAATCCTCTATACAACGGCGATAATTTTTCAATTCCAAATTACAGGCAGCACGGTTCAAATAGAGGGTTTTTACAATTGTGAGATCGGTACAATCTACTTCTAGTGCTTTTGTATAGTACTCTACAGCATTCTTATATTGCTTTGCTTTGTAACAATCATTTCCTTGATTTTTGAAATTGGTTGCAATTTCCTGGGGATTTCCATCATAGGCTAACGACTTTAACGCCTCAACCCCAACATTCTCTCCGCCTTCTCCGTCTGTTTCATCTAATTTTGTCATAAAAAATGGTAGTCGATTCAACTCTGCAAACACCTCATCTGTGGTTTTATTGGAAAACTGAGCTATCTGAGGGGGTAGCTCTGGCTCTCCCGGTTTGGGAGTATACTTTAGCCTTTCCCATTCAGACGTTGGGGCTTCAGTCATAATGAAGATAGATGTGATGAAGAAAAGGAAAAGGAAAAAAAAAAAAAAAAAAAAAAAAAAAAAAAAAATTTTTAAAATTTTTCAAAAGTATTGAGTATATTTACCTATTAGTATAG